AAAAAATGCATGCACCCATGCACATGCACACATGCATACATATTTGTGCATAGACCAAAGGACTTAAAGCTAACCAAAAAACTAAGCAATCTAAAAGAATATATCAGTGGCATCCTATCACACAATAAAGATTAAGGTCACATTCATCACACAGCTATGTGCACCATCAAACCATCCATGTATATGTGTTCATTTGATAAAAAGCAAGACATTCTTCAGGGTGTCTATATACTGCGAGGATGCTTTCTTTTGGTGAGTTAACATGAGTTACTAACACATGCGTTAATAGTCTTGTTTCTTGCAGGTGTTTAGAAACACCAAACAAGAGCAATAGATGAGCCTCACTGATGAAGGATGTACTTCTCCCAGGAACCACTCCTCTTTTAATCCCACATCAAGGCATAAATACAACAGACCTTGTTTTCCACACAGATTCCCATTTCTTTCACACCCAAGCATATGCTAAGAGTGCTCAAGCGACACTCTTCCTTCAGCTCTGGGAGGTGTCTTGAAACATTTTTAGCTTACCAAACATAAGGCAGAGGAGAATCTGTTTCTTTACTCAAGGATAATCATCTTCAACTGCTTATTTATACTGCAGATGGAAACCTATAGATTGAAATAGACACATTTTCATTCTAAAATTGGCATTTACATGGCCCATAGTTAAAAGGTGTAACCATTGTGTTGGAAAACAATTACCTGGAAAATTCTACACTGTTTCCTGCTGTTCGAACCAAGTGCTCATTAAGATTAGAACATTGTATAAAGTTAAAGAAGAGAGGAAGAACATTAGTCTACAGAAACAGAACCACATGTAGGTAAGGCGAGAAACCATAAAATGATACAGCTAGAAAGGTCTTATGACATATAAGCAAAAGATGCATCTCCATTTAAAGATGCAGGAAAAACAGCTGATTAAAATGTCTAGAACTGTGCTGTGTGATACTATGGTAGCTAACTATCATAGCTATTTAAGTCCATCAGAGTTAAATCAGATTAGAGATTCTGTTCTTTAGTTGCACTAGCCACATTTTAAGATCTCAGTAATCACATGTAGATAATCGTTCCAAGGTTAGATGCCACCACTGCAGAAGTTTTACCAGACAGTGCTGGTCTAGAGAACTCCTTTGGACATCTTTTTAGATACCAGGTTCTAAAGAGATCAGTGGTTGAACAGTGTGCCTGCCAACTGTTACAATCCATGGTGGGAAAAAGAGGGGGAAAAACACTCCTAAATAGAGTGACTGTGGTCCAGTATTATTGACATCTATATCCAAGAAATATACTTACACAGGTAGAGAAATGCCAGGCTAAAGTCAGAAAGAAGGGAATAACACTTAAATACATCACCATTCACATTTAAACATTCATAAAAGTTGCCAGCTTCTCTTTGTCTGCTCATGGAGGATTGGACTTTATTATTCATCCCTCAGATATGTTTCATCTATTGTTCACTCCCTGGGCCAAATGTCCCTCCACTGTAACATTTTGAACATTTATTTAAACAAATAGAACTCCAATAAAAATAGAAAAATGCAGACTCTTCACAGTTTATAAAAAAAGGCAAGAACTTTATTTTAAACAAATCCTCAGTTGTATAACATACCACATCCATATCTAAATCAAAAAACCAATAATAATAATAATAATAATTCAAAGGAAATAGAGGGCTTCCATAAAAATGTATTATCTGAATACTACTCTTGCCTAATGCTTCAGCTAAATACACAGTGGGTGTGAAAGGTGGAATATGGCACTTAAATAAATAAGAGCAACAGAGGAGAATTGCCTCAGTTCAAACAACAGGTTTTTGAACCTTTGGTATATGTCTCAAATAAGTATCCATAAACACATATTAGCCAATAATGTTTACTTCCAGGTTTCTTAAACCAGTGATTGTGTGCATGTGTGTGTTTCAAAAATAACTTATGATAAAATAAGTTGGGATTGACATGGGCTGATTAAGGTCTCTGGTGTGAGCACACAGGTAAATTCAAACCATGGCAAAATGATGTGCAGCTGTGTAGCACAACAAAATTAGGTAAGAAAATGAGCAAGATCTACCAGTTAGAAATTCTGTGTCTTGAGTAGATACCCTCCATTTCAACAAAAACCATATTGTTAATACTATCCACAGTCCATAAGCTAGAAGGCAGAACTATCCCAAAGCTCAGAAACACATGCTCAACAGTGAAATGACCATCTCACGGAAGTGTTGTTGATATTCCCTCCCTCCCATCCCCCACCCCTAATAAACAGCACCAGTGCAATTTGAGTTAAAAAAATTGGAAATATTGAGACATTCCTAAGGTTTTCATAATGACTAAGAACCAGTCATATGGGGCTCTTACTGCAAACCTCTGCCCTGGCCAGTCTCCAAAAAGCACCCCATGTAATTCCCTCTAGCTTGCAGATAAACTGTGTTAGGGCTAATATAAGGCCAGATCAAGGAAACAGAAAAGCTGGCATGCTATCCTGGGTTTGAGGGAAAGGGGCATGCTGATGGGGGAGAAAGATCCTCAGGGGTGTTTGTTTTTTTTTTTTTTTTTCTGCAGCCCAGGATGAAGGGATGTGCTGAGATGGGTCACAAATTTTATATCAATGAGTATTTGACTCATGCCATTCATCAGAATACAGAGCTCGGCAGAGCTAAGTCTTGCTTGGCAGCTGTACCAGGCCACTGTTGTCAGGAGCAGGAAGGGCCATTAAAGAGAAAGGCCCAAGGAAGTCCGGCTCAGTCATCTAGTCACTCTACCCAATTGTCTCTGTAGAACCGATGGTGGGACGTGTGATGACAGTTCTACATTTTCTCTTTGCCGATGAAGACCCCTTAAGATCCGTCTCCTAGACCTTGATATCGAGCATCACATAAATGAGGGCAGGTCTGTCTACCCTTGAGTCATCATCTGCCTCGGGGCTACTTGCCACCCAGCAGGCCTTCCCCAACCTGCCTTTTCACACATAGGCGGAGTCACTGGACTGAGTCCTGCCGAAGTTGGGAACACTGACTCGAGGCAGGTCTTTGTTACGTATCTCATAGACCGACTTTCTCTTGGCCTGGGCCCCACGGACAGCGAGTTTGATCTTGCGCCATCCCAGATGGTTAAGTTCAGCCAGATTGAGCACCACACAAATGCCACTCACAGCAAACATAAACACCAGAAAGACTGTCTTCTCAGTAGGTCTAGACACATAACATTCCACCTCCTTGATGCAGGGGTATCGGTTACACTCATATAACCCCGGGACACTGAAGCCATATAGAAAGTATTGGCCCACCAGAAATCCAATCTCCAGAGCATTTCGGAACACCACTTGGATGATATAGAAGCGAGAGATACCTTCCTGTCTTCGGAGCTTGGACCTTGCTGCTGTGCGCAGCCCTGATGGGTGTGGAGTCAGCTCTTTAACCTCTAAGCAATCTGGTTCTGTCTCCTTGCTGGTGTTCTCTGTGTTCTGCAGCACCCCGTTGACAATGGCATTTTGCAACTTCTTATCTTCTCGTTTGCTCCCACTACTGCCCCCAACCCCAGTTCCTCCAGGTCCCCCTATAGACTCAGTGGGGTCTCTGTCCAGGGCCAGGAAGACAGTAGAGTACCGGCGTTCGCGCTGCTTGGCCGATTGGTGCACAGAATAGGTGATGAAACAGAGACTGGGGGTGCACACCATTATGATCTGGAAGACCCAGTAACGTATATGGGAGATTGGAAAGGCGCGGTCATAGCAGGCCTGGTTACAGCCGGGCTGCAGGGTGTTGCACACAAACATGGTCTGCTCATCATCGTACACCGTCTCGCCCACAATGGCCACAATGAGTATCCGGAAGATCACCACCACAGTCAACAGGATCCTGAGCAGAGGAAAAGGAGGGGGGGAGAGAGGTTCTCATAGGCTAAGTCACTGATGGGAAGTCCCTGATCTTTCCTGTTTTCAGTGTTTACCAGTCCTTGGACAGGGGAGCTGTCCACCCTTGAGTGGTGCTGAACTGAGAGCCTGGAAAACAACTTTATCTCTTCCTTATCTGCTTGGTGCTGGTAAGCTTGGAATACTTCATATTACAAGGATCTCACATCTGCACAATTTCATACACTGTTTATGGTCCTTTTGTAATGTGTATATTTCAGCTCTATATGAAGAATGTCTAGAGACTCTAAACACATCTTTACTCTGGCCAATGCATGTAGAATCTTTTACAGAGAATGTGTGTTTGAGGGTCTACACATGGGGTGAGTATTGAGCCCTACATGTATAAGTCCTAGTCTCAACATATAGAACTTAATTGTCCATAGAAACAGTTATGAATACAAAACTCACATGTCTATATACATAAATAGATAGCTGCAGGTAGAGATAAATATGAATAAATAAATATATATCCTACACATACATATGTGCATATATACATACATATAGATATCCACAAAAAAGAAGCCAGCTATGTGTACGGCTTTCTGGCATTAAGTTTTAATGGAGAACAGAGTCTAGCTTAATAAATATCTGTTAAAGAATGATGCATCTGCTGTGATGAGCAAATCCATCTCCCCACTTGCCCTTCTCTGTCCAAATGCAATTCTGCCTTCCTTGTAGATTCTATTTAGGGAACCAGATGGAGATTGGCACTGACTCTGGAGAGTGGGGGTACCAGGACTGAGTCCACAAGTCCTTTTCTGATGAGGGAAGCGTGAACCCCTTCCCCCTGTGGTGCTTTATAGAGAAAGTATGGGGGATCTGGTCAGGAGTAACTGGAGGAGGGGGGCGTCACTGGGCTTCGGGTAATCCCTTAATGCAGGCAACACTAGCACTTGGACAGAGGATGGGGAGGAGGCAGAGGGCCAGCTGGGGGTCTGAGGGTCATTAGAGATGGGAGAAGATATTCCCAAGGGCCGCCCGACGGGCCCGCTGACGGCTGGCTTGGTGCCCTTACCTCCCGATCATAGTGGAGTGCTGCTGCACCGCGGCTTCCAGCAGCCTCTCCAAGATGGTCCATTCCCCCATCGCTGTGCATCCGGAGGCAGCAGACAAAGACTGGGCAGTACCGGGCACGTTCCTGGTCCTGGCCCCTCCCCGGGCCGCACCTCCTGACCGGGGAGCGAATTGCCCCCAATTAAAGAAGCAAACAAAAAATGTTTAAAAAAAAAAAAATCCACGAGCCCCTCCCCCTTTTATTGCACTTAAAAAAGGGGAGTAAGGGGAAAGCAATCTATGCGCGTCCCGACCAATGGGGCTGTTGGCGCGGTGCGGAGGAGCTGGCCAGCACCCCGCTGCCGTCCGGGAGTCAGGTTGACTCCCGCAGTCTCCCGGCGAGGGGCGGGGCTGGGTGGCAGCGTGCAGGTGGCCGAGCTCCTGCCCGCGGGAGACTGGTCTCTGCGCCGCCTTCCCCGAGATCTTGCGGTCTGGGTCCGCGCACCGTCCCCGGTGCCTGTCACTGGAGCGGGCACCTGGCGCTCCCGCGCTGCTGCGGCGCGCAGAGCTGGCTGCGGGGCTGGGGAATCCGCGGCCACCGCCTCTAATCCGCCCTTAAGTAGTCTCCGCCTGCGTCACGCCAGGTCGGCGGAGGGGAGCAGAGCGCGGCGTGCCGCTGTCGCCGAGCGTCGGAGCCCGAGGGGCCGCGGCCGCGCGCTGCGGGGGGGAGGAGACGGTCTGGAGTCCCCCGCTGCGCCGGGGATGGGGAGACCAAGGACTGCAGCGCCCCTTGGGGCTTCTGGGGCTCCCAGGTAGCCTCACCTGGCCGCCGGCCTCCCGCAGGAGGAGCAGACTCGTAGGTGAGTGAGGAGGGACCCGAGTAGGTAGCTTAGCTTGTCCCCGCCTGTCCCTCACCTTTAGCTTTAGGCCTTCTGAGACACCACTGAAATTCCTTTTCTAGATGGTAGTGCTGGTTGGGGGAAGGGCTCTTTTTAGCCCTTACTGGGAGAGGACAGCCTTCCGCAAGAGTGCTGCAGAGGGTCCTGGCTTCGGTGAGCTGATCAGATGCTGGAGTGAGAAAGACCCAATGAGACTCCCTGCTGGCTGACGCTTGAATGCAGGTGTGAAGGTGTTCTGAGCATGAAGGTCTGGACACAAAGTATTTGCCAACCAAACAGGTGCCTAGCAGCGAGCCAGTGGACTGGCCACGATGAGTTCTCATTTCTCCCTACACAGATTAGGAGGCTGTGTTTTTATCTGCACGTAACTGATGCGAGTAGGGGGTACTCTGTTCAGATTAGCACGGTCCAGTCTGAATTTAAGGAGATTCAGCATTCATCTAGCAGAAACAGCAGCTCGCAATCTCACCCCACCCCCGACTCTCCTTATTCAGCCTTTGCTTTTCTCCCTCCCTCAATGAGCAGATTCCAGAAGCGGTTTTTAAATTTACATTTTGTTGTCGGTTCCATCTACAGCACCTTACTTAATTGGTCCCAGGAAAATTCAAAAAAATCACACCAGGCTGCTAATTAGCTGAGGGTCAGTTTTAGGAGACATCAAAGTTGGGAGTGTTTCCTATAAATACCAAAAGCACAATGAGTTTGGGACTTGTCATCCTTCCAAAAATCTGACTGGGAAAGGGTTGCTAGCTGGTCTTAGGAATATAATGCAGCCTTAATTACCCTCAGGGAGCACACACATATGTATATTATATAAGCTACACTAGCATGTGCTTTGAGTCTAGAACAACTGAGTCAGTTGGGTACCTGGTGGTCCTGAGACTGGGAGGAAGGGTGCAGAGTAGGACTCAGAGTTCCCACACATGCCCTTCTGCACGCATAATGCTTACAGACAGAACACAAGCTTGAGCATCTGAGGAATGACTGCACCAAGATTGTCTCTTGGGGTTGACGCATCTAGCCCAAGGAAGCAGATCTTCATGGAGTCCATCAAAGATGAAATATGGAGGAGAGAAAGGGAATGTTATGGTTAAGGCAGGGGTAGCTTCACCCTCTTGGCAGAAAAACATGTTTGAGAATAGAGACAGAAAGAGTTTTTTTCCAGTTGGCTAACAGATGGGATGGTGATTCCCTCATCTCAAATGTGATACACATTCTCAGGTTTTCTCTTTGCTCCCTTGAGTCCCTATACTTGCTCCATCTATGGCAGACATTTTTGGAGTAAAGAATTGTAGAGAGAAAATGAATGAGAAAGTACCAAAGGCAATCTGTTTAACTACCTTTAAATGTCCCCTAATAAGTTGTATAACTCCAAATCGTCTTCTGTGCTTAGGTCTTGCCAAACCTTTATAGACAGTGAGTCTAATGCAAACTTCAATCATTAGGCTATGACTGAATTGTTAATCATCAGCTTATTTTTAAATATGCTTCAATATGACACATGAAAGACACACATGTACCATTGGTATATAAAGACCCCAAAACACTTCTATGTAAAACTTATGACACACTAATAGTTTATTTTTAAGGCTACAAAAACTTATTCTTACCACCATATTTTTAAAACAACTGTTTTTATTTTATTTATTGAAATTTTAGTTGTCAGCTGTACTACAATAAACAGAAAAAGCATAAACCCTAATTTCTGTGTTAAACTGTATGAAAATACATTTAGGAAACCGAAATTATAGACAGTAAGAAACTTCCGTGGGACAAAAACAATCTTAAAATGTTCATCAATTAAATTTCATTACTTTAAATTTCAAACTTTTGTAGTTCCAGAGGTCAAAAGTTCATTGAGGGAATGTGCAAGAGTTGTAGAAATGATATCTAGAAAGAAAATGCAAATGTCACTCCAAAGATTGGGAGTACAAAATCCAAAAAAGATCCAACTTTTGACTATTTTTATTTTCAGAAATCATGCATAAGTTGTTTAATACATCTATGCTTCCCTTCCTCTTTTGAGCCCAATCTACTCCATTTTCAATGAATAATTTGCCTTGATTGTTCTGCATTAAATATAAAGAGGTTCTATGTACAGCTGGACATCTCTGAGCTTCCTCGGGGCATTATTTCTTCTGGCTGGATTCTGACTTCTCAATTCCCCTCTGATTGAAATTACTTATTTAAGTCAACTGAAAAGTTCCTCCCATTAATTCTAATTTGAAGCTCATTCTACAATGCTAAAGCAAGGGCGCCAGTTGAAAATCAAATGTAGAACATATAGAATTAACCTTAGTGTTCGGTAAACCACCTGGGTAGGTTAAGAATACAGACACTGAGTTCCCATATCAGATTGCTAAATTAAAGTCTGGAACTAAGGGTCAAGTTTTGGAGTTGTTAACAAGCTCTTATCACTTGAAATTTGGAGATTTTTTAAAATTCCACCTTTGCTAGTATAGGAATGAATCCTAGATATCAGGAAATCTTACCCCATTCTTCACAGATCCGAAAACAGGCCTATCTGTGACTCAGTAAGTGGAAGTTCATAGGGACTGTACATGTTAGAGTGAAGGTAGATCTCTTGGCTTTGGATCTCTTCCTGGACCATAAATCCTTAGGAAACAGAGTGCATAATTCATGCCTCATGGCTTCTTTAGCATACAGTGGCAAATGTGGTATTCAGAGTCTTTGGGAAGACTGAGATAATGTAAAACTGTGACGACTGTGGCCTTTAAAGTGGTTTGGATCATAGAGACATAGGTACCTGTGAGTATCTAAATCACAATGACTTCTGGTTTGCTTACTTTGTAAATCCCTGTCTTAGCAAATAACAATGCCCATTAACCAAGATTGGAAAAGCTTTGTCTCATCTAGAAGGAAAGACTCCAAAGACTAGCAAAGGGTGTGGGTTGAACATCCTGACTCAGGAATGGAATGTAGAGTTATTAACAATGATAAATTCTACTATGTGGGTCTGTCTAGATGTGCTCTTATCTTTATATATGCTTAAAACTTCATTTTCTTCAACCACAGGTTCCACATGAACCTGTTAACAACTCCACTCTAAATATCCGGTAAGTGAAACCTCACTGGAACTCCATACTTGTGAAAACGAAGGTTGATCTTTTGACCTCTGCTTTACTGGAACATATGTTATTGGGAGGACAGAGGGCATGTATTCCTCATGGTGCTTTCCACAGTGTCTTTAGCATTGTGGAAATCAAGCATTTGTTGGGAGAGTATGGTGAAGACACTCAGGCCATCTAGTTCTTGTGACCTGGGAGAGCTACATGTCTCCTGATTGGAGGTGGTCTCAGTTCTCTTCTGTAATGTAATCATATTTAAGACAGAGGAAGAGGGGATCCATTTATATGTGGGAATCTTAACACATTAGGGGTGGCCTGGATTACTCTGGGGAAAGCCTTCTTGCTGCTCTTGTCTCCATTCTTTTCCTCTTCCCTGTGGTCCTGGCACTTCCTGATCTAACCCAGGGAGTGCTGCAGCAGCAAAGCTTAGGCTGCAGCATCAGCATCAGCAAGGTGGCCTTGGAAAGCTGATCAGAGCCCTGGAGGCAGCTCTCCTGGGAAGCACCAACATCTGCAGTCTCCCAGGGTTTGTGCGATGGGGACAGAGACTTCCTTCTGTTTGGGACTGGTCTCCAGGTTAAAGTCTTTCACATTTCATTCACAAACAAGAGTTAACTGAGATTCACTCCCCCCCCCCCCGGGGGGGGCACCTACATGCATCTGTTCACCAATGAAAACATCCAATTGTCTTCTGACAGGATAAAACTAACCTGTCTTAGGAGACTTAAAAAAATATAAATGGCAAATGAAATTTTACTCTTTGGTGCAAAATGATGTCTCCCTTTTTATCTTTTGTGTTTCTTCCATATGTTTAAATCTCAGCCCAGATTTTTAGGGAAATGCTTGCCTGGAAAGATGCACAAAATTTACTGTCTTAAAGGGGAATAAAGCTGCTCAACCTACTGATCATAAACAGTCCTAAATATGGCCAGAATTGCTGCCATCTCATGAGCCCAAATTCCAAACTGTGACTTAGCCTCAAGAAATCATGTTTCTAACTGATAGTCAAATCTACCATCTTCCTCCTGCTAGCCCTTTGAATAAGAGTATGTACTCCTTTAAAAAAAATCACATGTACAATTTCCCCACTCCTCATTCACCTTGTATATAGAAAATATACCTTACGCAGTAATGTCTCAGGCATCAACGTAATATGGCATTGTGACCAAAGCAGATGTGTGAAATCACAGCAAATAAATTAACACTCCATTAAGAATCAAATCAGTCCTGCTGACACATAATCTTTCCCGTTTATGTCAAGTCGTGATTCCCATTCACATTGGGAGCTTCCCAGGGAGGCTCATTAGACCCGCAGGAAGAGATTTCTTTTAAGTCAAAGCTGTTCAGAAGTTATTCAGCTACAGTGCCAAAGAGCCATCCTGGTGTCTGGGTACCCGCCTCTCCACGATCTCTTTGTCATTGTCCACCCAGAGCCCCAGCCATGCAGAATATAGCTATGTCTCCTGCTGAGTTTCCAGTCTGTATAAAAGAGATGAGGAAATTACAGGGGAAATACATGTGGGTAGGGCCTGCCCTTGAGAAATTTTCAAACCGGGAGGCTATCTTTTGGTTGTCATATGAACCCTGTCTCTGCTTATTTTACACCAGTGTGATGCTGAAAGTCAGACTTAAGAGTTGGGTTCTTCCTGCTACCTTCTATAAGCTTCCAAAATTATAAGGTGGGATTGGAATGAATCCACAGAGGAAACATCTCTAAGAGCTGGAGCTTATGTTCAAGCCCCATGTGGACTCTACTGGTTGCCTGCTTCTTGACTTCCAGAAGTTCAGTCAACATCTGTTTTGTGGGGATTCCAGAGACCTGGAATGGTTTAGTTCAGAGGTCATTTTTGACAATCAAGCTGGCTTCTGCTCTCTCTTAGACACCCAAAGTAAGGACCGCTATGGAGGGCCTCTTGTTTCCATAGCTGAGTGAGACTAGAGAGGTGCCACTCTTACTTGTCATCCATTCCATGGTCAGTCTAATTCAGCAGTTCTCAATCTGTTGGTTGTGACCCCATTGTGGGTGGTAGATCAGATATTCTGCATATCAGATATTTACATTATAATTCATAACAGCAAAATTATAGTTATGAAGTAGTAATGAAATAATTCTATGGTTGGGGTCACCACAACATGAGGAGTTGTATTCGAGGGTTGCAGCATTAGGAAGGTTGAGACTCTTGGTATATACTTATGTTTTTTACCCTGATAATAGACTGTCCCCTGATTATAGAGTGGACAAATACCCCATATTTGGAACCCACCTTGAATCCATATCCTGTTGATCATTGACTCCTCCATCACCACGCATCACTCACTCCCACCCCTTACTCTACTACCACAAAGGAAAGTAATCCGATAAAGGAACACGCACGGGGTGTTAATAACTGATAACCACTTAATGTATTATCCCTCTCAGAGGAATTATCCTTATTTAAGTTGCAAAGCCTTCATCCAAAGAAATGAACATTTTTAGGTAGTTTTTCAAATGTTGTGCTTTAAAAAGTGAATGGCTATTTGGGAGCAAGGGATATTTAAGCCTTTCCAGACAATATACCACAAAAGCACTTGCTTCATTTATTGACCTATAAAGGGTCCAACTTGTGAAAATATGGGAATCACACAAATGCAATGATTCTTATATTTACTGCATCTTAAAATCACCAGGGAGCTTTAAAACCCAACAGTGCCTAAGTTGTCCTCCAGACCAATTAAATCAGCATTCCTGGAAGTGAAATCTATGCATTTGTATTTTCAAAAGAAAAAATATTTAATTTATTCTGACTCCAATATGCAGTCAAATTATTTACTGCAATAATGTACACTATTAACTGCAGAGCAGCAATAGCTTTTAACAAGCCTGATGAAGTGGGCTTTTTCCTGGTGATAGGAATAGCTGCTGCTGGACACAAAGCCAGAATTTCATTCTGAAATGTGTTCATGTGGTTCTGTAAGTACTTAATATAATCCACACAGGCTAAGTAGTTAGTTGCTAAACTGAAAACACCCATCTCATTTCATCTCAGTCCACTCCTGGCCATCTGGTCCCCAGTATTTCCATTACAGGGCCATGTGTGTATTAATGAAATGATTGCATCCGATTACATCTTTTATTCAGAGCACAAGAACAGTCCATGAATTTTGTTCTCCAACATTGCTGTTTCTGTTATGAATTCAACAATTAAGTTATTCTGTTTCAGGCAGAGGTGGGATTGTTGCTCACTAAGGTAAGAAAATAGATCAAATATGTTACTGTTGATAATAAAATTATAATTTTGCTGCCTAGTAACCATAGGATAGAAACCTCAATCAAAGGTGTAACTGCATTTTCAAATGTCCAAAATATAGTTTATATTCCTGATCAACTTGTTCCAACTGGTGTAAAAGAGGGACCACCAAGCCACTGAGCTAGTCACTTTGCTCTCTAATTTCTCTCAGGTCTCTAGAGCAGGATAATCAGATAAACACCTGGATTATATTATTGTGCAGTTGTTTGGTTGAGTAGGCATCAGAATGAACAAAAATGAATGGAAGGTGACTGAATGGATAAATAGCATAGTATTCATTCTATTAACTAAATAACCTTCCTTCCTTCCTACTCCCCATTTGTCAGGAGCATTTTAAAAATCAATAGATGTTCACAAATATCTATTATGTGTCTATATTCAGCGATTCAACCCAAATCTCCCAAATCACTAATACTTGATCTTTGCACATGCAGATTTCTGACCCTCTCATTCATTCATTCATTCATTCACTCATTCATTTGTTCAATGAGACTTATTCATTGCTGGCCAAGCAGCTATAATTAATATAAGTCTGTGTGTTTACTTGGGGGACGGGAGTGGGAGAGATTTGTCCTGACTGCCAGCAGGCCAGGACACAGGAAAACTTCCAGCTACACCTGTGTGCCAAGAAGTGATCATAGTAAGCAGAACAACATGGTCTCTGACTTCGTTCAATTTAAAATCTAGTAGGAGAGACATTTGCATTTAACCAAATAGTAACAAATCAAATAATCTCAAATGCCAAAGTTTAAGTTTAAAATTGGTTTAAAAAAAAAAAACATGAAGTGATAGCTCTGAGATATACAGTCCTTAATGGAGCAGGGAGAGGCTGAGCAACTCTGTGGAGAAGGGTTGGGTGATGGAAGATACTCTATAGCTGAGATCTAAAGGAGCAGTAAGGGAAACTCAAGTGAAAGAGTGGGAAAGTGGCGTTCTGAGCTGCAGAAACAGCACGGAACAGGCCACAGGTACGATATACTGCACATTCAAAGAACTAAGTGATGTCCACGGCTTAGTGAAGCAGAGAGAGGCTTGAGACAAGGCTGGGGAAACAGGTAGGCATTAACTCAAGCAGAATTTAACATGCTAGGCTAAAGAAGCTTAAGTATCCTTCTTAATTGTCACAGGCACCATTTGAAGGTATGTAAGAAAGGAGGGGTATGATTAGGTTTATTCTTTAAGATTAAAAAAAAATTATGTTGTAGTATCTGAGTGTGTATGTGCATGTGAGTATATCACCCTCAGAGGCCAGAAGAGGGTGTCAGATGACTTGAAGCTGAAGTCACAGGTGACTGTGAGGTACAAGTGGGTGCTGGGAATTACTTGGCTCTCCTATAAGAGTAGCAAGTGCTCTTAACCCCTGAGCCATCTCTCCAGACCCCATGAGGTTTGTTTACTAAAACTCCATGGGGTGTTCTATTTGCATTGCTGTAAGATTTGGGTAGGGATATGTATTTCTTTTCAGTTTCTGTGATCAAATAGCTGACAAGAAGCAAGTTAAGGAGGGCATGTTTGGTTTTTGCTTAGTTTGAGGCAATAGTATTATCATACTGAGAGAGACATGATGGCAGGATCCTTAGGCTGGATGGTCACTTTACATCCTCAGTCAGGAAACTGAGAGTGAATGGAAAGTGGTACTGATCTGTAAAATGCCACCCCATCCTAAATCAGTGACTACTATTTCTCCCAAAGTTTCCACAGCAAGGCTATACCTTCCAAAGGCCCCACAACTCTCCCAAACAGTGTCATCAGCTGGCCAAATGTTCAGATATGTGGTTATATACAGGGCATTTCACAGCGACCACTACAGAGAGTGAGCAAGAATAGAGTCAAGGAAAGAGTGGGATACTGCTACTGCGATTCAGCTGGTTAGACTCGATGTGTATCTTCATGCACATACCTGTCTTCCTTCAAAGATTATGTGTACACCAAAGAAACGCATCTCTAGATCTAGCAAACGATTACATCTACCACCAGGTAAATGAGTCACGTGACTTCTCAGAAAACATCCCAGACTTGTGATGTTAATTACATAGGAAACAAATAGGCCCTCATTATAATGGCCGACATAAACCACAAGTGGATAAGTCTTAGTGGATAAATCACCTATTGTGATGCCTCATTCAAACTTGTTCATCTTTGCCCACAGTAAGCAAATCATTGAAGACAGCTCTGTGGCATTCAAAGACACAGTAAGAATGGCCACCCCCATTAAAGAGTTCAGGCTTCTCTGTTCTTTCTCTCTCTCCTTCTACCCCTCCAATTAAAGTCCAAGTTTGCCTCCATTCTATAGATCTACAAAGTCTAAAGGGAAGTCTGGGTGGAGAGTGGGGCTCTTTACAGGAAGAAATGTGCTGAGACATTAATATTTGGCAATGTCTTGAAATTTATTTTAAGATGGAGCAACTGTCATATAGAACTAAAGAGTTCAACTACCAAGTAGGACTAACATGGCTATTAACAAACAATTCTAAAGAGAATAAAATGAAAGTTGTGTCTTTAAGAAAACACACACTTGCTCCAATCATGGTGCCATACCTCAAGAGTGTTTCTGAGCTTCCTCTTTGGGGGCTGTCTTCAGAGTCCATTGTTAGCAGATAAGAAAACTCTCATTACTTAAAATAGCCACCTTGTTTCTTTACTACAGGTAATATGAGCCACCTTGACTACCCAAGTGTATTTTCATGAGTAGATTCTGAAAATGCATGTCTTAATAAGACTAAATTTTAAAGATATGTTGAAAGAATGGCTTGCCCCTGCATTGCAGAGCTGGTAACTGTGAGGTCGGGTCTAATTTCCTTCTATTTCTATGAGTTACAAGTTGGGAAGGTCCTTCATGCTGGCCATTAGTACCCAATGGCTTCCAGCTATTTGCAAAATCAATCTCCTCTTCAGAGGATGAGTTTGCCATTATTGAGGATACTTATAAATACTTTCACCAGCTCCAGAGAAAAATCACAATCATGAGTCAGCAAGTGCCTAAACTATAGTAGCAGCAGGCAATACTGTCACATGATCTTCCAGGTGCATGAAGAGCCACAATGTAGTCTGGGGCACTTCACCCTGTCAAATGCCTAGTTGGTGATGCACTAGGGAACATTTTCTGGTGAATGAGTAAATTATGCTGAATAGGTTTCAGTTTCATTCAGAGTATATTCTGGTTAGATCCAGGGCTCAGTGGTAGAGTGCCCAGGCCCTTAATTCCATCTCCAACACTGCTCATGTCTATAAGGGCACACATACACATAGGCATATACACACCATGTTTCTAGGTAAGCATTCAGCCACTAAATCACACCTCATTCCCAGGACTATATTCAAAGTGATAGTATAGTTATTTACATATGTCATTAGGCAGAGTCTTTAAAACTTAAAGAAAATAGAGAAAATTAATTACCCAAAGCAGAAATTTCTGTGTGTGTGTGGGGAGGGGGGTTGAATATGACAAAGATTTGGAGAACTTAGTCTGTGTTAAGAGAAGATTGAGGGCTGGAGAGATGGCTCAGAGGTTAAGAACACTGGCTGTTCTTCCAGAGGTCCTGAGTTCAATTCCCAGCAACCACATGATCTATAATGAGATCTGAGATCTGGTGCCCTCTCCTGGCCTGCAGGCATACATGGAGGCAGAATATTGTATACATAATAAATAAATAAAAATCTTAAAAAAAAAAAAAAAAAGAGAAGAGTGAATGGATTGTTGTAGTGATGCCTGTAATTAAACATTCAGGAGAATTTGGGCTTCAAGGCTAGCCTGGTCTAAAAAGCAATACTCCCATCACAAAAAGAAACCACAGAGATGGCTTATTGCTTTCTCTCTTTCCTCTTCCACAGTACTTCATGTATCATGCCAACTATTGAAGAAATAAAGGAGCTCCCATACTGAAATTTATACACTACAGGCATTGTTGTAACTTCTCAGTGGAATACAAGATGCCACACTTAAATCCCCAAGCACTTTTTAAAGGATCAATATCATATCTAATTCTCCTAAGAATCCTTGAGAAGGAAGGATCGGACATCACTAAACTTGGCAACAATACCGAGACATTTATCTACAGCTGAGAACACTGCTGATCTTCATATATTCACCCCACAGACATCTAGATGTCAAAATACTGACAGGATTAATTAATGTCTTTTAAGGTCCGCTCCTATTTGCTTGTCCTCCAGATCCTCTCTTTCCCATTATGTGCTTGGCTCTGCACCTTGGGATGCTGATCTTTGCTGATGACTTCTTTGAGACTGCATTCAGATTTGACCAGTATGGTGTCCTAGCCAAAGATGAAAGGATTGAAGGGTCATGAGGGCAGGCAGTGACTCCTTCCTGCTTGGTGATGTTTCCAGTGAACGTCTGTGGCTACAGTTTCTGTCATGCCCTTCAAATCTTACAACATTCTGGTAATTTTATTTTTCTCCCTGTGCTCTCAAACCATCAGGTAGTGATATCTTCCCACTGTTGTTACACCTTGGGTATCTGAGCATCTATCTCTTGTTGACTTCTGTACATCTTTTGTTCATTGAAAACTTTCTTCAGAAATCACAACTGAGTCATCTGATTCCTGTGGGGCCCTGATTGATCTACTACCACCCTTACTTAGTTCATTTTCTTTTTTTATGAAAGACTGACTTAAAAATATAACCTAGCTCCTCAAACTAAAGTCTAGAAACTCATTCATATTTTTTCAACTATTCATCAACCCATGATGACCCATTTATCCCCTAAGGATCTCTAAAAGCACTCTCTTCCCCATTTCCCTTCTTCGTTCATAGCTTATTTGATACAGACCCTCTAAAAGTGCCTATTTATCTCCTGAACTCTTTTTCATGCTACTAATGGAATGGCATTTCTATGACGGGCTCTGGCCAAACCATCTGCCATTCTCCAGTAGTCCTTACAGTCCTGGGAGTTGTTTGGACCGCATACAGGGGGTTCCTTAGAATTTGGCCCATGCTTACCTCTCTTGTCTACCCACCTGTCCTGTTTCCACACTGCCTTCACTCTTACCACACAGAGCTTCATATAACTTCAAAACCTGATGCACTATTCCTTCCCACATTACCATGTGCCACCTCTGCCAAGAATGCCCATCCCTATCCTTTTTCTCTGACAGTCTCTGGCGCAGTGTCCCTAAACCTCTTTCTATGCTATAACTTTAAAGGGTTCTATGGCATTAACAAGGCCACACAAGGAACACACTGATTCTGCAGATGGGTCTTCGCTAGTTTCTCAAGTTCCAGAGCAGGTCCTGTGATGAAGATTGAGGCAGAAATCTTAACAGAAATAGAGTAGGCATGGTTGGGAGCTAAGTGTTTTGTATACTCTTAAATCCATCTGTCTTTCTTCATCTCTATCACTACCTGGTTCAGGCCACTTACCATTTTTCCATGAATAATTCAGTAGCCTCCTTGCAGACCTCCCTACTTCCAGCCTTCCTCCCTCTAATGCACCCATCATACTGCAATGAACGAGCATGCATTGCAAGCCCCACCCTTTCTTTCCACATTAATATTATACAATTCAAGAACCCAAACTCTCTAGGACTTGAATCCTCATATAAACTAGCTTTTGTAGACCTGTTCACTTTCATCTCTGACAGATCCTCCTCTACGCTCGGACTGGACTGAGATAGCTGCTGTCCCCCTAATTCACCATGGTGCTTGTGTCCCAGGACATCATGTCACTGCCTGGGAACTCTTTCCCGCAGCTGCTTCCTCACGTTGCCTGCTCCTCTAAGTTCAGTCCTGGTGCATGTCCGAGAAGACTCCCCTGCTCCCCCCACCTTTCTCCAGCCACTGTCTGGCTGTGCCAGGTGCTCCTCCTAGCATATCACTTCTCGTGATCTACAGCAGCACCTCTCACGAATACACTGCAAGCTTCTCTGATGCAGAGCGTTGTTTCTCCTGTTCTGCTTTCATCTTACTTTTATATGCTTCCATGCCTAGCACTGTCCCTGGCATGGGACAGATGCTCAAACACTTCCTGAGTGAAGCTTCAGAAGTAGGACAGCACTAAGACAGTGATGGGAGAGAAAGCGATTTTGTGTCCAGATTTCTCCATGTCCAGTAAAATCCACATATCCTTTCCTCTGACACCGCCTTTTTTGAGTCTCTTTGCTGCCCTTAGCCTCTTCCTTATGTGGGTCTAGTACCCTTTGAGGGTATCTGTTTTTGAAGGGAGAATGACATATGAACGTGATAGATTTGAGCCTAAATCCTGCTATGTGGTTATTTCTAGAGCTAAATGACTTTGCTTTTTTGAGAGCTAATTTTCTCCAGTTAGAAGGCCAATAATATAACTGGGTTGAGTACACGACAAATTGCTTAGTACATAGGAAGTGCTCCATTAATACAAGTCTCTAATACTTTTTGCCTCTTGTCACTTTGATAGGATTTAGAACCACTATGAACATTTCTGTGAGGAATTTGATAGATTAGTTTAACTGAGGTGGAAAGACTCATCCAAAATGTGGACAGTGCCGTTCCATGTGCTGGAGTCTCAAGTTTACATAAAAAGAGATTGCTAGCTAGGCAAACGCCATCATTCCTATGACTGTGGACAGAATGTGGCCAGCCCACTCCTGCCTTCATGACCTCCCTGCAATTTACTGGAGAATTGTGACCCAAATAAACTCTTCCTTGAGTCACTTTTGTTAAGTATTTTGTCTCAGCAATACAGAAAATAAGCAAACATCCTGCTCCCACACTCTGTACACACCCCAACTTCCTGGTTACTTTGTCCTTGGATTTAAAGTGAAGGATTGTGCCTTTACAATCCACCAGAGCACAGGGACATGCTTATGTTAGTTTAGTAAATAAAATTCTTGATTTTACTGATTATCAACCTGGGATTTAGAGAGATTAAGTGACCTGCTTAAATCTTACAGCTGGGAAATGACTAAGCCCCAAACCACAACCCCAAAGTAGTGCATAGAGCAGTGTTTATTTTGTTCAGTTGCATGAAGCCATGGGATTAATATATACATATCTCAGACCAAGGTCCTTGGGTATATCAGGCAAACACTCTGCCACTGGTAACATCTTCTACCCTCCTTTTACATTTTATTTTGAGACAGAATCTCCCAAAGTTGCCCAGGCTGGGCTTGCAAGCTTGGAGCTTGAAGTCTACTGGTTCAGCCTCCTGAGAGCTAGGTTTATAAAACTTGTGTTCCAGCCCAGTTACAAATTTTTCCTAAAATGCCTTTAATCTGCCTTTTGTCTCTTCTGTTCTAAAAATTTACAGTGGCATGCTTCAGTGTGAATCACCTGCTTTATCAATGAAGCTAGAAACTCAGAGGCCCATTTCAGTTAAAAGAAAATCTTGCATGCCTCCATTCTGGGAAAGGGCCTGCGGCTTAGTTTTGATGGTTTCTTTCACATCTTCACTTTCTCTTGTGTTATTGTCTCCTCCTGGGAATCGTCACATAGCTCTTGACTAATCCAACCTGCTGATTTTTGTGTTTTCCGTAATTCTGTATATCTTTGCTCTACTTTCTTGGAAATAACCTCAAATTTTTTCTTCTATTTTCGTTGCATTTTTTTTCCTGTAATCATACTGTTAATGTCTAAGAATTCATTTGTACTGACTTTTCTCTTCCTATGGAGAATTTTTTTCTTCTTTTGATGCATGTGATATGTGTGTGTGTGTGTGTGTGTGTGTGTGTGTGCCTGCGCGCGCGCATATGTATATACATGAAGGTCAGAGGTCACACAGGTACCTTTCTCAATCAGCACTGATCTTGTTTTAAGGCAGGGTCTCTCACTGAACCTGGAATTCACTGATTTGGCTGCACTAGTTAGACAGTCAGCTGTGGGGATCCTATGTCACCAGCACTGAGGTCACAGGTAAGCATGTCACCACACCTGGCTTTTTACATGGGTGTTCTGGATCTGAACTTAGGGCCTCATGCTTCTACAGCAAGCACTCTACCAAATGAGCCATGTTGCTAGCCTTGAGAATGATTTTTTGTTGTTGTTGTTTTTTTTCGAGACAGGGTTTCTCAGTGTAGTTTTGGTGCCTGTCCTGGATCTCGATCTATAGACGAGGCTGGCCTTGAACTCACAGAGATCCACCTGCTCTGCCTCCCGAGTGATGAGATTAAAGGCATGCACCACCACCACCTGCTAAGAATGACAAATTTTGAAGTTTACTTATCTTTTGCTGCAGTCTTTTCTGCCTCTAAAACTATTTTAAGTTTGCTTTGAACTCCACATTTTACATTAATGGCTTTACTTCTCGGATATCTGCTTGTCAACTCATGTCTAAAAGTGAGTAAAGCACTAAGAAACTGCCTGGAAACATGCGTGAATGGAACCTGCTGGCTTTGGGCTTTAATACAGAGCCATGGTTCTCGGTCAGAGGAAAGACACTGGGATGGTCCTGACACTGGGAGTTTGGGAGATGGATGTTAATGGTGTCTAGAGAGTTGAGACCAGACATGATCCTCACTGTCTGATGATGCACACTCTGGCTCCTCATAGCAACAACTATCCTGCTCAGCTCATTGGACCACTGAATTAGGAACCCCAAGACAGTACTATTTATCTTTCTATTGGCCTGATGAGAGTCATCAGATAGGAATCTACTAGTCTCCTGCTTGGACAGTACAGGCTTAGATTCCACATTCTGTGAGCTGAGGGTAGGGAGTAATTTCAATCCTCCTGCTCTTGGCTACATTTTTATTCTTGTTCACCCTTAATTCTTGCAGCTATTCTGTAGTTAACTGTCAGTCATAATCGGCTGTCTGTCTACTTTTCAGTTTCCTTTTCTCTTTGATCTTAGGAATTTATGCCATCTTAAAATTGCTTTGCTATTAAAATTATTGTAATTTCTGAAGGAAATGGGAGGAAATCCATGTGTTCTCTCCCTTATGATTGAAATCTCAGGATTTTATTCTTCCAGTTGATACATACACTGGTATTCTCTAGTAAGGGAAGCCTAAACAGAACAAAGCAAATGAAAACAATGCATCTGCATGAATACCTGCTACATAGAAAGTACAGTGTCTGTGCTATGGTGAATTTTCCTTGCCAGTTTGGAGGCACACTATCAGGTGGGTTCTGATATCAGTGGTGATTTGATTCCTTTCCTTCTCTTAAAGAAATCTCTTGGCTATAATTATCAGGACAAGCTAATTTGGACTATATACAGTCTATAGGTTTTGGTGTAATAGGAGCAGAAAACAATTTAAAGCTAAGCCCAAGAGAAAACAAGAACCCAAACACAGTGTGCTAAAGAACAGCCTGGATTAATTGACTCACTGAAGTTCTGTGTAAACAGAAACCAGATTTCTTCTGTTGACCAACTACCAGAAACTCTGAAACAATGACTTCAGCTCAGTGTCATTGACTGCAATTTCCATAGAAATCTGATTTTCACCGTGGGCCTCTGAAAGCTGGTAGCTCTGGAGGAAACCTCGCCTCTAGGAAGGATTTCCATCCATGCACAGATGCGTGCAATGCCACTGCAGCCACACTCAGATCTGTTATGAGAGCAGAAAGAGCACTCAGCCATCCTCCCCAAGTCAGTGAGTGCTGCCTATGACTTCTTTACAGTCTCACTGAAGTCTTACATGAAGGCAGACGATACATTCCATTATGAGAAGGAGAATTTCTAATGTCGAGTAGAAGACAACATTTAAAGCACATTTCCATGGAAGTTGCTATTAAATCAGCCCAGAACAACTGAAACTTGAGCTCAGAATGGTAGGACTTCTCCATTTTAAGAGCTAAAGAAAGAGAATACTTGTATGGTGCCATGGTAACATTATCACATAAAATGGTTCCCTAGAAGAAGATCTCACAGAAGCATGATCAGAATACACAACGATCTGGTATTGATTTAGCAAACCAATGGTCAAAGTATTTCATTTTCTATCATATTCTAATGCTCTTAACTTTAAAAATAGACAATATTCAGCATAAAAGAATTGGGATATGAAAGTACATAAAGAAAACTATAGTCAGTCTTTTCCTACAGATATGAGCTCTGTCTTACAGTTTTCTGTGTCTCTACAGACCCCCATATTCATGAAGGAAGGCAGAAATACAGGGTTGTTTGTGTTTTGAAAATAACAAAAAGATTTTCTATTAGAGATTTTTCACTAAAAGAGGTACACAGAGATAGAAAGAAAGGAAGCATACCCTGGACAGATTATGAGGGGAAGAATGTATCCCCGATTTTCAAAATTATCTCCTGCCTTTGTTAATGTAGATAGAATGGTGATGAAGGAAAAGCGGAACAAACATGGCCCAAGGTGCGTAGACCTTTAGATTGCTGGCCAATATACATTGAATGCTTTAGGACACGAACAAAAAGAATAGAAACACAGTGCAAACCTTGAGATTGTACAGAAAACAGCAAAGAAAGGAGAAAAAAGAGAACATTGGCTCAGTTAAAGTCAGCATCATTGGGTGGTGGCGGTGGCGGCGGCAGCGGTGGCGGCGGCGGCGGCGGTGGCGGCGGCGGCGGCGGCGGCAGCGGCGGCGGCGGCACACGCCTTTAATCCCATCACTCAGAAGGCAGAGGCAGGTGGGTTTCTGTGAGTTCAAGGTCAGCCTGGTCTACAAAGCAAGTTTCAAGACAGCCAGAGCTGTTACACAGAGAAACCCTGTCTCAAAAAACTACAACAACAATAATAATAAAGTCAGCATCATCTCCTGTAGTTGCAGGTGTCCTGGGTGTCAGTTCAGTTCCTAGTAAACACTCTTTTCTTTGCTTATAGTCAGCTGTCTTCTTGTTGTATCCTCTTATGGTGGGAAGGGAGAGAGTGGGACCCATCAAATGAGAAGGAGCGGCAGGGGTGAGAGGGGACAGCCAGAAGCTGTCTTTAAATTAAAACAGCATGAATCCCATAATGATGACCCACCTTCATGATTTTACAGAATTACAATGATTTCATAGGGTTACAAATGCACAGAATAGGTCCCAGCTCCAAATGCCACCATGCAGGGAGCTTTGGTTCAGCATCCGTGCTTATTAAGTGTTAAGATTGTTGTTTTTGTTCTCACTACAAAATACTTGAAATACACAACCTAAGGAAGGAAAGGTTTGTTTTGCCTCATACACCCAGGGGTTCCTGTCTAGGCCAACTGACCCCGTTGCTTTTAGGCCTGTGGTAACCTTACCTCAGGGAGAAGGGCATGGCTGATGAAATCTGTAGCTCAGCATCCAAGAAGCAGAGAAGAACTGAAAGAGACCAGGGATAACACATAACCTTTCAGGACATGTTCCTAGTGACCTTCTTCTTCTTATCTTCTGTTTTCCACAAATTCAGACACCATCAATTATGAATTCATCAACAAATCAAAACATTGATTAGGTCAAAGGTCTCATGATCCAATCACTTCCTTACATCCTCACATCTGAACACTGAAGACCTTCAACACATGAGTTTGGGGGCAATAACTCATATCTAATCCATCCAGAATTTAAATTTGGGTGGCTGAGAATGACAAGCATATTATGTCCATAAAAGTCAGCAAAGGGGAAAAATCTAACCGAAAGTATGCTGAAGCTAAGTATTCTGTAACATGCATGCATTCCTCTATTAATCTGAAACAAGAGGATCTTGAGATCAAGGTCAGCCTGGGCTATGTAATAAGTTCAATGCCACCATTTACTTCATAGTCAGACCCTGTTAACAAAAAAAAACCAAAAAAAAAAAAAACAAATGCAGTAATCCAAAAGATTCACAATAATAAGCTGAGGGTGTCTGTCAGTAGGATGGAATTGATTTTCTTTCCAGCTCCACTCCATCCTCTACAGTATCCTAAAGTGTCCCTTCTTCCCTTGGGTGCCTGCCTTCAGGCATAACCAGGATTCCTGCTTCACCACAGAAAAGATTTCTAAATTGAACTTATTTGAAGACTTGAAGATTTATTAAAATACATTTTTAATATAGATGTTATGAACAAAGTTATTAGACAGGGAGAGAGAAAGAGAGATATAGAGAGAGACAGAGACAGAGACAGAGAGAGACACACAGAGAGAAACAGAGACAGAGACAGAGACAGAGATTGCGACCAGATGATGTGAAGTTCTCCAGAAAGTCACAAGTAGGTTTATTTATCATGGGTATATATAAGATTTTGGTGACATTTAAGTTACACCTAAAGGTTGCTGAGGAACACTTCTCTCCTCAGCATTGCTCCAAGAGTGTAGTTTACATTGAGGTTAAAAGTTAAAGAATTTTCTTTTGTGAACAAAACCGATGGGTGGACTTATGAGGGATAGATTTAGGAATACAGGGAAGAGCCTGAACCTCACCCACCTCAGTGCTAAGTAAGCACAGTGTATTTACCAGCTTTTAGGAACATATATTGTCTTCTTAGGCAAATTAAGATTTTTGAGTCCATTTTCAAGACAAGCAAGCCAGACCATTCTCATGTTCTCTTCCTATCTTTGCATAATTTTCCCTATCCTTTCTATTCTGCCTCAGAACATATGGGAGTTATGGAAGCTTTCTACATCAGTCTGGGCCTGGGGACGTGAAGGATGAAAACAGGAGGAGATGAAGCTCACTAACAGGATTAAGAGATCGCTATAGGAACAACTGAAAGAACTATCTGCGAGAAAAAGACAGCAAGGATGAGTCCTGTGCATAACGGAACGAACAATTACCATTTAGAGAGCCGAGGAAGCCGGAATGTGACTAAGTTTAGAAAGAAAATTATGAATTTGATTTTGGGCAAGTTGAAGTCAAAATGCCCTTGAGATATTTAAGAGAGCTCCAAGAAGGCTGATGAATATGAAAGTTTGAAACACCAAGTTTAATTCCTGGAATTAAAACCAGGAAAATTGGTCAATGAATTTTAGGGAAGGAATACAGTATGGTATATTCTTGGTGCTGACAAGTTCTCTCGTGACTGATAGGAAAATGCTGACCATTCAAGGACACACAAAATCTGGAGTTTGGAGGAAAATGAAGAGTGAATCCAGTCAAGAGAGTGTTCTTACTGAAGGCAACAGTAAGCTGTGATGACTGAAAAAAGCCCTCTGACCATGTGAGTCCCATGAACCTCGCCTAGGTGGCACTCACTACCCACTTCCTCCATGACCTCAGCTCTATTGTCTAAGGATGACGCTGAACCCCATGCACCTCCCCCAAGTAGCAACATTCCCACAAGACCCTATTCCTGACCACAGCCTCTGGTAGAATACTGTGAACCTTCCACAGACTTCTGAGGGTTTGTAGCCTGCTGTGTGGAAGGTTTGTGATCAGAGGCTGCATCTCCCCCTGGTTGATCTAGGACCACTTTTGTTACCCTGTTTACACATCAACACAGAGTGACCTGAAGACTGAACTCCAAACACCATTCAGCTGGTCCAAAGCCTGACGAATTGTGGCAATAGCAAGCAGATATCCAAATATCTACTCAACAAAGGTGGGATAAATATCCATACCAAAATCACTATCAACCACCTAACTACAGATGTCTAGGTCCCACTGCAAAAACACAAAGAACACAAATAACCAAGTCAACATGTCTCCTCCAGGAATCAGTATTCTCACAGCAATGCTCCCCCACAAAAAAACAACTTAGATGACACACAAGACAATTATTCCAAAATAGCAATTATAAATATATATGAGGTACCCAGAAAGGATATGAATAAATGCTGGAACAAAGACCATGAAAACACAAACAGCTGAACAAAATATAAACAATTCAAGATATAAAAGTAGAATTTAAAAAGAGATAGAATTTCTGACATTCTGACAAAACCTAACATGAAATAGAACTTGAAAAAATTCAGTAAATAAAATCAAAAGTCTAATGCAAGTCCTCATCAACAGAATGGATCAAGTGGAAGAGAGAACGTTGAGGCTTAAAGACAAAATGCAGGGATTGGATGACTCAAAGAAAATAATAAATGTGAGAAAAACCCTCTAGAAATCCAACAGCTAAAATCGAATGTCAGGTTTAGGCAGAGCACTTTCTCATGGAAAGATGAACCTGCGTATTGGTGTGAGACTCCAACTGACCTAGTTTGCTTTTGTTCTTGTGATAAAACACTGACCAAAAACAACGTGGAGAGGAAAGGGTTCATTTGGATTACAGGTTATAGTTTACCATTGAGGGAAACCAAGGCAAAAGCTCAATGTAGGAGCTTGAAACAGTAATGGTAGATGAGTGCTGCTTACTAGTGTGCACCCCAGACCTAACTGTCTAGAGATGATACTGCCCATGGTGTGCTGGGCCCTTCCCCGCCAATTAACTGTCTACAATTAACTATGAACACCCTACAGACAAACCCACTGACCAAGCCAAGAAAAGAAACTTCTCAGTTGGGGTTTTCTCTTCCCAGATGTGTCAAGTTGACAACTGAAGGTAACTATGCCACCGACAAAGTTTCTTTCTATGGCTCCTGATTTCTTTTGTGAAGTTGGAAAAGGGAAGTCTTAAAGAACAAGGAAGAGGAAGGGGAGCAGTGAAAGTCATTGTTCCAAAGGTTGAGAGAGGAATTTCGAGACAGCATCAGTTTTTGCATATTTACCTGGTCTGGGCCCAACTCATCTTTAGTTTCACATGTTTGGTCCCCTTATACAAGCACTAATGATTTTTTTCAGTGTTGCGAAGTCTGTGCTTAATTCACTTTGGTTTTTATTCTGCAAATGTCTACTCCCTGCTTTAAATCTTCCATACTGCATATGTAACAGACCTTCATGAAATGATGACCAAGTTCTGTTTATAACTTCTGAAACCACCTAGAGTCAGTCATTGTTCAAGTATGCCGAGCAGTGTTTTCTAGAACAGCCTGTGAGGACATGGAAGGAACAATATTGGTAAAGCAGTGAGGCCATTGCTGGTTGAAATAGTTCAGAGAAACAGGATGGCAGGGAAATGGGTGACTCCTCTGCCTGCTTGCCTGTCTGACTCTAAGAAGTGAACTGCTGAGTAAGAAGGAGACTTGCTCATTCCTGATTCTCTAATGAGATTGTCAGGGGCTCTGAGTGAGATTCTTGGCTTTCTTGTATTGAGTACATTCCCAGAACCAGGAGAAGACTTCTAGCTTTCATAAATGGAAGACTTTCTTGGTTAACCCATTGCCAACCCTAGAGGTTAGTTTCTTCACCTACCAGAAGACTCAGTCTAGATTCTCACCTCTCCTTAACCTTTCTTTTTCCAGTGACTTTCTGAGACCTTTCAGAAAACCTTTCACCTGACCTTAAAGAGTCAAGCTCAGACCCACCAAGAAGGATTTCTTCCATTAAGATAGAAATCTGATCTGCTTTTGGTAGGATGGAACAAAGAAGTCATAATTATAAACTACTGGGAGAGATAAAAAAAATTTATTATCTACAAAACCATTTGGAAACTGGGTGAAGGTACAAGCAGAGTCCATTTTACTACTATTGCTCCTTTATATACGTCTAATCTTTTTTCTGATAAAATTGTTTTCAAAGAAGATCTCAAAATTTATTACTATATACCAGTTATTTTCAAACTCTTTACCAAAAAGGCAGTTTATGTTGTTACCTTATACATATGTGTGTGTGCGACAACAGGGCTCTATAAAATATTTGCCTTCACTATATACTTTCCTACTCTCTGCCATGCTTGGTTAATATTGAAGATAGTGTTGGAACCTACATGACTGATTCCAAAATGTGTTCATTGATTGTGTCCCACAATTTGAAATATGAAAATAATCAAATCATTAGTCAAATCTTCTGGTCTACAATTAAACATTTGTCTATTAGCCTGTGTCAAGGGAAAAGTGGCTTTAGGGGGAGGGATAGAGGAGAAAGAGCAGTCAAGAAATTGTTGCCTCCCTTTTTGGAAAAGTCAGGCCTGATCTTGGGAGCAGATGTCATCAGGGATTGACTAAAAGTGAGTGCTTCGTAAGCTGCCCGTTCTGTGACTGAGGAGCCACTGTCAATATTTCCATGCATTTGTTCCTAGACAGAACTCAGCTTTCAAGCAACCACCCCTCTTCTCTGGCCATCATGCCTTTGCTAACATGGAGCTCATCTCCTGTCTCCGACTTGCCCTGGTTTTGAATTTATATCCTGCTCTCCCTCTCCCTCTTCCTCATTCCCCTTATGGTGATACCCCCACCAACCAGTGTCATGGACAAAAGTTTCATCCACCAAAGGGAAGGACAAAGCATGCTGAGATTTGCTCAGCACTTAAATCCCATTGTAGCAAAGGTCTGATGAAGCCAGCAGAGTGCAAAGTCTGTCATCTAGAAGAAAGCACTGAATAAATTTAACTTTGGTATCTAAGAATGAAGTATCGAATCTTCTGTCCTTCAGCAAATGGCAATCAACTTCCTGTTGGGAAAAAGGTGAGCATTTGAAGATTTCAGGGATTCAACAGACATCAAGGAAATGCAGAACAGCACCTTGATATACTATAAAATAAGCTTCAAGTTTTAAAATATTTTATAAAGGGGTCCACAAACCCAGAGACATTCCATGTAATGTATTTTATATACTTTATATATCATATATGTGTGGGGAATTTTTAGTAACTGAAAACATACATATATTGGATGAACTACTCCTTCCACTCATAAATATTATTATTTTGCCAAGGAGGGCATTGCCATTCCTCCAACTGCAAAAGCTGTATTTCCTTCAATATTAAGGTTAATGAAGGCTGGGGCCCTGTAATCTACATGAGTAGGTTAATTCTCATGTGTCCTAGATAGTTGAGAGAGAGATTTGGAACTTCAGCTGAGGGGAGATACACACATTGCCAAACTGGACATACAAGCATGCAAATGGAATGAGAGAAGCTATGTGCCATGCACCCCGGTGCCTCCGCTTCCCTTCAGCAGAGCCCAGAAGTTGCACAAGAGCTGCCCTCCCCCCATGCATGAAGGAGAAAAGCCAGTTCACAAGCTTTAAACAACCCTGGAGAAAAGCTGTTACATGATTCAAGCTTTGAGTATACAATAGTTGGAGAGTGGCTTATTAAAAATTAGCCAGACTGCCATGACATTGCTGACAGGACATTCACGTGTTCAGTGTACTGTAGAAGTGAGGATACGGCACCAACGATCTCCTGCCTGTATCCAGGATATGCATGTGCAAATTGCTTTTAAAAATGCCCTTGTGAACAAAGGTGAAAGTTCAGTTTCAAAACATCACAACTAGATGAGACTATCTCAATTTGTTCGCTTAAACCACGTTTTGCCCAAAGGCAAAGGAAGATAACCTTTCTCATGACTTGTTTCCTTACTCAGGCTGTCTTTAATATTGCTGACAGGAAAGATGGGTGCTAGAAAAATAGCACAAATGAGACAAGAGACTCCTATTGGTTACCTGTCATGGTAAAGGCATTATTATTATTATCTGCAAATGTTTAGAGTCTCCAGTTTTTTTTTTTTTTATTGAAGGCTGGTAATCAATATTTGGGGATCCATCCTCCTGGCAGGCTTAGTTCTAGATACTGGACTGGGAAACTAATTTTCAGAGCAGAATCTAGTAGTAGACAGAAAAGACGTAGATTAGTGAACATGGTGTTTTAATGATGTTCAATGTGAACAGAACTAACTAGAGTGACATAAAGCAGTACCCAAGGCTGAGGTTGGCTTTGGAAGTAGGAAGCAATTTGAGAGGTGTCCTATTTTTATTTTGGTGGTGACTGTTGGGTATATACAGTTATTTGAAACCGTTAAATCATGTGCCATAAATAGGCACATCTTTAAAGATTTTGATTTTATTTTGTATTACTTCACTGAGAGTTTTGTACAGTATGTTTTGATCATATTCACTCCCTCCTCCAACTCTTCCCAGTTCTACCCCCCTTTCCTACACACCCAATTTTGTGCCGTTTTTATTTTTTAAATCCATCAAGACCAATTTGTGCCGCCCAAATGTTCTCAGATGTGTGGTCTTTCACTGAAGCATGATCAATTTACCAGGGGCTATACTCACAGAGGAAATTGTCTCTTTCTCCCGGGAGCCAACAGTGGCCTTGGGAGGAAGAGATGTGATATAAATGCTCCATTTAATGATGAGCATTTTGCAGTCTCCTGTTTTCTGTACCTTGGCTATCTGTGGGTCTCTGTGTTAATCACTATTTACTACAAACAGAAGCTCCTCAGATGAGGTTTGATTGATGCATCGATACATGGGTATAATAAGTCATTTAGGAGTTGTTTGGGTACTATGTTAATTTAACAATATAGTAGTCATAGTTTCTCCGTAGGGCCTATGACATGTCTATCCCATTCATGTCTATTCCCAGTTATGGGTTTGATCTTGTGGAGTGAGACTTAAACCCAATCAGAAATCTCTCTCACACACATACATGCGCAGAGAGTTAAATGGAGTTACCATACAACAGGGCAATCCCCTTACTAGACACCAGAGACTAACAAATAAGAAGCCCAGTGTGGTGATAGATTGTGTACCCTGATAAAAATTTGCCTAAAGATCAGAAAACAGAACAAGCCACTAGATTAAACATAGAGGCCAGGCAGTGATGGCACACACCTTTAATCCTAGTACTCAGGAGGCAGAGATCTGTATGGATCTCTGTGTGTTCAAAGCCACCCTGGACTGCAAGAGATTGACTGAGTCTAGGAGATAAAACAGAGCCAGGCCGTGGTGGCACACGCCTTTAATCCCAGTACTGGGAAGCACACATACCTTTAATCCCAGGAAGTGATGGCTGGGCGGAGAAAGGTATATAAGGCGTGAGGAGACAGGAACTAAAGGCTTTTCGGCAGAAGTGTCCTTTTCAGCTGGAGCCTTTTTCAGCTGGAGCCTTTTGGTTGAGGACTCAGAGGATTCGTGGAGTTGGCGAGGTGAGGCGTGGCAGTGGGTTGTTCCTTTGTCTCTCTGATCTTTCAGCATTTACGCCAATATCTGGTACCAGCTTTTTTATTATAAGACCTATTTAAGATTCGAGCAACAGCCAGTCCATGGAATGTGCTAAAAGGGCACATTTTGTGGTATACAAATTATATCTCAATAAAATTACAAATCATAAGAGCTCTGAACTGAGATAGTATGGGAAGTAAAGAGGAGATGTAGATACAGTTGAGATGAGTGTTCTCAAGAAGACCTTTAGCTGTGAGAACTGCTAATGTTCTGGTCTGAAGTCCTGCACTGGCCTCCTTGGGCCAGGTAGAGTGAGGATCGAGTCACTCCTGCTTGTGGCCATGTGATCAAACTGACTCAGAAACAGGACACTTCCAAAACCTGAGGATTCCAAGTAACTAGTCAGAGGGCCCTAGTGGGTCTGAGAATGGATGATTGCAAAGTCCCCTCCCCTTATCTGCAAGGAAAGTTCCTGTGAAGTGGCCAGGCTTGCTGTTCATCATTTCTGCTTTCTTCACTTCTGTATACCTGTGGAGCCCACCGACTTTCAGAGGTGATGCTGCCTGATTCGTGACTTACTAATCCAAGCCAAGTCAACCATTAAATTTAACTGCCAAGGTTCCCAGGGTTCACAATGGGAAAGGTCACTGGTGTCTTTCTTGCTTTACTTTCAACAGATGGCAAAAGCTATCAATTTTAGTAATATAAAACTCACTATATGGACATAGCATCAAACTACCGTCTAAATATGTATCTTTGTATCCATAGATGTGTGCATTAGCCATCATCACAGGAGTATCATTGTGCAGTGGATGGTAGTTAATACAGAAACTCACTACTGGTTTAAGGGCAAAGAACAAGTATCTGTGGAATGCAAGGCCATAAAGGTGACATTTTTTTTTATAATCCCTCCCCCTAAGGTTGAAGGACCATTTTAAAAGAAGGGGTTGGAAGATTGTAAGAGCCAGAGGGTGGGGAGGACTGAAAAGAAACCGTCTTCTGGATATGACAAAACTGTTGTATTTACAAACTCCCAGCAGCTAGGGTTGTCTGCATAAGACCTGCAAGTCAGTCACCACGTCAACGTGGATAGGGAGGGGTACATAGGTTCCAGTGTCACAGCTCTGGAGGGAAAGGTCTCCTGACTTGTTGGGAAGTCAGGTGATCCGTAGAGCCGCAATAGGACAGCTCAGCTCTGGAGGGAAAAGTGTCCTGTCTTGTCAGGAAGTCAGGTGATACCTGAAGCTCAGCTCTGGAGGGAAAAGTATCCTGTCTTGTCAGGAAGTCAGGTGATACCTGAAGCTGGGGTGCAGTGGGGGATGGTCTCCCCACAGGATGTAGCAATCCTGCTCTTCCAGAGAGAGTTATCACAGCTGAGCTTTGCTCCACCCCCACTCCCACCCCCCCTTAAAGGAGGCTTCCCAGCAGAGCTCCGCTTCTTCTCTCGGGCCCACGATGTTGCTGCTGCTGTTTCTTCACTGTGCTAAAGCGGAAACCCCTGCAGAAATGTAGCAATCTCCTCCAGCTCAGACAAAATGTTATTTTTTTCTGCTCTGCCTTGCTCGGCCCCTCTAAGGGAATGTCTCAGCAAGTTTTTGTTTGTTTGTTTGTTTGTTTTTTGTTTTTTTTTTCCGTTTAGTCCCTCTAAGGGACGTCTCAGCAAGATTCTTCTGTTCTGCCCGCGAATGAAGATTTTCACCCAAGACTTTTGAAAAAGAGATTTATTTGGCAAGGAGGAGTCCAGGAGAGAGGCTGCCTCTGTCAGGGTGGGAAAGCACAGCCAACCCCTGAACAGGTAGAGGGGCTCATATAGGGCTTCTTAGGGGCGGAGTTTCTCCAGAGAGAAGATTTCCTGCTCAGGGCTTAGTTTTGTTAGTCAGGGACAGAGTTGACTCTGATTTCTGGGCCAGACTGTGTTTCTTTCACTGACCCTTTTTAGCCTTTTGGTTCTAATTTCAGAGCCAGGGCATATTTCTTTGACTGTCTCTGATTCTAGGGCCAAAGTGTGTTTCTTTGGCACTGGTTTCAGGGTCAGGGCATATTTCTTAGGTCCTGGGTTCAGGCCTAAAGTGTTTCTTTTACTGGCTTGGGTCTCAGGGCCAGGGTGTGTTTCTTTCACTAGCTCTGGTTTCAGGACCCCGGGTGGATTTCCTTCACTTTACTAGCTCTGGTTTCAGGGTTAGGGTGGGTTTCTTTGGCTGGCCCCTTTTTTCTTACAACAGGCTCCTTCTGGACCCCAGTCCTTGGGACAATGTCACCCACATTTACAGTGGGTCTTCCCCTATCAGTTAAACATCTCTGGGAAAATCTTCCACATGTCCAGAGATGTGTCTCCTATTTGATTATAAATCCCATCAAGTTGGCAACCAAGATTAAACATCACAGAACATATACAGCCAAATCATGCTACCAAAGTCCTTCTGGATGTGGGTACAGAAAAGCAGCAGTTAGGATGGAGAGTTTCTTTCTGAAGTGAAAAATGTGTTCAAAAATTGATTATGATAATGGTTACACTTATCTGGATATACAACATCAAGTTTGAACTATACACTCCAAATGGGTGAATTGTGTAGCATGTGAATTATGTCTAAATGATGTGTTCCTTTTTAGATGGCAATATAATCCTGTATGAGCCAGAAAAGTAAGGAAACTTTGGCCACATGCCAAAGCAAAGTTAACTGGGTGAAACTCATTTTTATTTTCTTTTTATCACACTCACATATTAAACCAACAAGATACAGCTAGAGTAACTTCAGAGTGACTTGCTATTTCACTCCTATGGGAAAGGAAGACATAATTGTCCCCAATCTCAAAGACTTCAATTTCTATTAATTTATAGCCTTGGATAACCTGGAAAACTTCCTTTATTAAAATAAAAATTGTGCCCAATGTTAATTATTCTTGGTGTATTTCTCATCCTGTATGAAATCACTTCACAACCCCGAAGCAGAGTTTTGAGTTAGTAGACTGAGTAACCCAATGTGAAGATGAGCTGAGACCAGGCAAAATGATGCAGTTACAGCCACAATCTTGGTGGGTAAATGAGAGCAGTGTGTTTCTCACTCAGGGTGTGTGTCCGCAGGGGTGTCCACTCATTCTCATCTGTGGGGACCCACTGATGGAGGCTTCCATGAAGCATGGGAGGACTGCAGCCAATGTTTGTGTAGGCCACACTCCATTCTCTTCAAGTTTGGAGATAATTTTATCTTTTTACACCATCCTTATTTCAATTTATATTTGGAGTGAACACCAATCAGGTTCTTCCTATTGACTCCTTCATCTCTACCAACCTACAGTTTTCTTTTTAAAGCTAGAAGGCTTATACTGTATTTCAGTGAAGGAGTTGAAGGCATTAAAATCAAACCAGTTATTATAGCACAATGGGATTAACACTCCAGGGTAAAGGATACAAAAGGAAATGTGGCTACCCCTTACTGTAAAATGTAAAGAGTTTTAAAATAAGTTCTCTTCAACTTGAGGGGAGATCACAGTGGTGTGAAAAGTGCTTTCTACACTGAGATTTCAAAAAACCCAGTTTAGATTAAAAACAAATGCTGTATAGTATAAGATCATAGTAATTATCAGCTGAACTCCTTGTTAAGTCCCATATTGTGAACTTGTATTTCTCCTTATTTGATGAAATTGCTTAGGTCAGTTTTCCCTCTGAGAAATGAAGGAAAACCTAACTCTACCGTCTTGGTCTTTAGTATCTGGACACTGAACTCTCTAGCTGTTCCTTGTTGAGGTGTATTATATAAGGTTCTCTACAGGAACATAACATACACACACATGCATGCACACACCTATACTCACACACACAGTAGATTTAGGATTGGTTTCCATTATAAGGGCTGGGCCATCTGTACACCAAAGACACAGAATACTTGGTGGCTGCTCAGCCCATGAAGCTAGATGCCTCCAAAGTTCCAATCTGGTGTAAGAAAGTTGGGTACATCCTGGCAAGTCACCAACATTGAGTCCATGTTAAAAGCGATGCTTAAATGTCAATGGAGGCAGCATATAAGATGGTCTGGGGGATTGAATGTACAACCCTACATATGGTAGACAAGTGCTCTACCATTGAGCTACACCCCAAGGTCTACAATGAGCTCCAAAAATCACATGATGATATTAGCAGCAACAACAAATACAATTTCAAGATGGCTAAATGATTTGAACAACCAAAAGAAATATGAATACAGATATTTCATACAGCCATCAGAGAAATGAGAATTAAGACCACAATATGACATCATGCTGCCACAGTTAGAATGGTTGTTATAAAAAATAATAATAATGGTAAGGTATGCCATTTGTGGGGATAGTAGTTTGAATGTTACTGGCCCTCATAATCTCATAGGGAGTCGCACTATTAGGAGGTGTGGCTTTGTTGGAGTGGGTACAGCCTTGTTAGAGGAAGTATGTCACTGTGTGTGTGTGTGGGGGGGGGACTTTGAGGGTTCCTATGCTCAGGATACTGCTCAGTGTCTCAGTTGACTTCCTGTTACGTGCCAGATGTAGGACTCTCAGCTACTACTCCAGCACCATGTCTGCCTGCATGCCACCATGCTCCCTGTCATGGTGATAATGGAATAAACCTCTGAAACTGTAAGCGAGTCACCCCAATTAAATGTTTTTTTTTTATAGGAGTTGCTGTTGTCATGGTTTATAACCATGGTGGAGAGCAGTGTGGAAGCGTCTTAAAAACTAAAAGATCTACTATGCAATCCAGCTATCCCAATATGAAGCCAGTCTGTGAGAGATCACTACATGTCCATGTTTATTATGGAATTATTCACAATAGTAGCAATATAGAATCATCCTTGAGACTCAACAACAAAGGAATGGATAAAGAAAACATGGCATGTAAACACAATGGAATATCCATTTTCAGGGAAATGGATAGAACTAATGGATATTATGTTAAGTAAAATAAACCAGATATGTAAAAGCTAAAAGAAAATTCTTAATGTGGATTAGTGATTAATTGAATTTTGGAAAGGGAAGGAAGGCTGGATTGACTAGTATATGCTGTATGCATACACTGAAATATTATACAGAATTGTATTAATATATAAGATTAATACATCGTTATCAAAAGAGAATTAAATATTGAAGTATATTCTTATGCGTATGGCCCATTAACACCTTTTGTCATACTTAGAATTTAAACTTCGTATTATCATGCGAAGACCCTGTGTGATTTGTATTCTAACACCTTCCCAGCACCACCCAGGTCTTCCTCTCACTTCCACTTCCCAGCGAGTGGTCATCTCCTGCTTCTCTGTACACAGTAGATCTTGGAGCATGTTCTCTTTACTGTCAGCTTTTCCCATTCTTTTGGTCTTTCCTAAGAGGCATTTTCTGACCACCTTCTCCAACTAGATGCCTCCTGTGTGTTAGAGTCTCTCACTGAACATTATTCCTTCTCTAGAACTCTGTATGTTTGTATGCTTGGCTATTGGCTGCTCCCCCACAACCCACCCATCCTCAACACACACACACACACACACACACACACACACACACACACACACACACACACATACACTATATCATCGAACTGTAACTCAAATGAGTGCAGTGACCATATCTATTTTATCTCTAGGACCTACTAGGATAAATTCAGTAAGTATATATTGACTAAAGCAAGCAACTGAGTCTTCTGCCTAGGTTTATACCTATTTTTATCCTTCTCTTCAAAGCATTTGTCTGTACACTTACAATAAGACAGTGACTCAGAAACTCCTTATAGATAGAATGTGTTCATGGAGAGAGCATGTTCTTTGGTTTCCAACTGCCATTGTTGGTGAAGAGATCCACTGGGTTGCTAACAGGATGTGTTCAGTCTCAGCTACTAACTAGTAGTGTGACCTAAGTCAAACTGATGCCTCTTTACGTATCAGTTTCCATCAGTTGCATGGGAATAAACTAGACACTGCTTCACTGTATGCCTCAGTCCCCAAGCCTTGCTAGAGACCTCCCTGGACCTTTTGCTAATATCACCTTCAAAAGAAGTTTTTATTTTGCTATCCCAGTAACTGATGAGTTTGTAGAAGGATCTTAATATACCATGCCCAAAATATGGAAGGAGCTTGTATTAGTCTATCAAGACTACCCCAACCAAGTGCCCCAGGTTTGAGTGCTTTCAACAAAAATATTCCCCACAGTTCTGGAGGCTGGAAGCCCAAGATGAAGATGTGTGCATGGATGCTTTCTCTTGCGTTTATTGACTTGCAGATGGTTGCTTGCCTGCTGTGTGCTCATTCTGTGTGCCTCTAGTGTCTCTTCCTCTTCTAATGAGTCCACCAATTCCATACAGTGAGATTCTTAAGGTTATGACCTCATTTAAGCTTAATTACCTCCATAGAAGACCTCTCCCAAACACAGTCACACTAGTGTAAGGATTCACTGCAAGAATGTGGGTTCAAAATTCAGATTTAGTATCCATGAGAGAAGTAAAGAGAATGCTAGGCATGGTGGGTCATACCAGAACTCAAAACACATAGGCAGGAGAGTCACAAGTTCAAGTCCAGCCTGGACTACCTAGAAAACATGTCTCATGTGAGAAATGAATGAATGAATGAATTAATGAATGAATGAATGAACAAAGTCCTGGGAATTTTTACTTAGGCCCTAAAATAGTAAATCAGCCCCAGTGTTCTACATATTCTATTTCCTTCAGTAATTTTTCTTTTCCCTAATTCTATTGTCTTGAATATTTACAAACATATCTACAGTAATACCTGTTTCTCAGTTCATAAAATTTTAAAAAAGTATTTGAAGGTATGAAAAAGTACTAACAATAGTTTTTTCATTATAATCTGAGAAAAATATAAATAATACAAGGTTTCATACTTAGCATTTTAATGAAATACGTTACTGTAAACATATCAATTATTTTACTCACATGAAGGTGGCTTTTGAAAAACATGATTGGTTTAGTGCCTTTCTTAAAGCACAGTTTTTGAAAGATTCATCTGTCCTAGTATCTTACATCAAATTTTCAAGCATAGATGAGAATACCAAAATGCAATGTGAATCTATGTGCTTTCCACTTTGGGTACAAATGTCAGACAATAATTCTTAAAGCTTTTACTTTTAAATAGAAATAATATACATCTTATATCTACTCATAAATAGAAATACAAAGAGATTATATCCCAGTAAATTGTGTAACATTAAACTATTAATACAATATTTAGATATGAAATTTATAATATGTATGCACCCAACCTAAGAGATGAAGGAGTCAAAGAGAGTGTCTACATAATATTCCATATACATGGCTCAAATATGTCTTCTTGTGATGCCTGACTTTCAAAGCAACCCATTTGTGCTACAAGATACTGCTGAGGGGAAAAATCTAAAATAACATTTATATTTTATCTAAAGAAAAGGCCACTGAATCAGATTACTATTTCTGCATTATTGTAGAAGAGACCTTCTTCTTATTCTAAATATAGAACTCCGAGAGAGCTCCTTAAGCACAGAAAACATGATCAGATACAACTTTCTGTCTTCTGACCCTATCGTTGAACCTGGCCTAGAGTCAAGGATCAAGAGATACTTTTAAATTGATGGACATAAAGACACAATGGTGACCTTGAATGGTAATGACAGCAGCAGTCTACTAAAGATATCTGATGAGCCTGAAGTGCTCCAGATTTTGAACCCAGACGTCCTAAAGGGCAGAGAATGATAGAATGGGGATACCCATGATAAACTATGACTAAAGTTAGAAAATATGCTTTTAGAAGCACTGTCACATTAGATATCAGAACATCTGAGTTCTGTCTGAAGTATTTCACAGACAAGCTGGGTAGTACTGTACCAGGTGCTTCATTTCTGCATCTTGATTCTCTCAATAGATGAAGTTTAATTAAGCCCATCAAACACTCTGTGAGCTCCAACAGTTCATGCTCAAGATAATTTGAAAATGAAGAAATTTCAAGATTCTGCAATCAGGTTGAAACCTACTTTTCACAATTAGATTTCCTAAAATTCTCCAGCTCGTGTCAGGCTGCTTTGTCTGGTCCCTTAGCTTCCTTCCCACATCCTCCTGCTAGGACTTCCTCCCTGCTTTTCTTACCTAATCCTAGTTCCTTTTTTTTTTTTTAAGATTTATTCATTTTTTATTTTATGTCCATTGGTATTTTGCTGCATGTATGTCTGTGTGGAGGTGCCAGATCCCCTGGAGCTGGAGTTACAGACAGTTGTGAGGTGCCATGTAGGTGCTGAGATTTAAACCAGGTCCTCTGGAAGAGCAGCCAGTACTCCTAACCACTGAGCCATCTTTTCAATCCCTACCTAATTCTAATTCTTAAAGAGACATGTGTCCATCAGTTGAAGTCCCCAGGTCATACATGTTTGGAGTTTGCATGTAGATGAGTCTTTCAAAGACAGAACAAAACTGATCCCGGTAGATACTTTTCCCAGCATGCTTTATGGTTCCTTAACTTCTTGCTGCCTCTGACCTTCACACCTTCATTTTCATCACCCCAACACCCTAAGATGACAGAGAAATGATGTGGCTGCAAGTCTGTCCTGTAAATCTGTCACCAAGTGGACAAAACTATCTGCCCTTTCTCCTTATTTTGAACATGCTGATATTCAATGTCCTAAATTTGTTCAGGGAAAGTCTTAAAATTTCTGCTTGTGATTCCTTTTCACCTAAGTTTTTTTTTGTGTGCGATCCTAGGCATATTGCTATGTAAGGTAGGTATACAAATCATAATGATAAATCATAAGGGAATTTATTTTAAAATAGTTCTTTGGCATATATATATTTACCATTTGTTAAAGATGAAAGTAACTTTGCATACTGACAAGATGGTTGTACTTACTTATTTTTACATGAAGAATTAAATCTTGCCTGAGTATTCGATACTGTAGAACAAAGATTATCTTCAATATTTTCCTGAAGTGATCTATATTTTGTTTTTTGTAACTATCAGTTCTGTCTGACAATGCCATTTTTCATAAATAAATCATGCAAAATGGCAGAAGGACAATGAGGGCCATCTCAGAAATTGCTGGAAATTCTGTTCTAATCCCAGGTCAAAATTCCTTCCTTTAATAATTTTTAAAAATAAAACTCGTCAGCAATGCAGACTGCAACTTTAAAAAAATCAAACATTTTAACATAATACAGTCCAATGATATAGTAACTTGATGCTTACATGCTCAGGACAGTAGAGAAATATTAAAGTCCATTTTCAGAAATTAAACTGTTATGTTTGGATGAGAATAGGAAACCTTGTGCATACAATGAAAACACTGCATTCATAGCGTACAACAGTCTTGAATTTGAGCTGTTTCAGGCAGTGTTTGTTGGTGTTCCATGGTGCAATGTTGTGCACAATATGAAATACACACGTTGTGTACTCAGAACCAACGTTGCAATGAAGTCATGTGATGAAACATAGGCAATAGCTGTCACAAACATCTTGGATTCATTTTATATTTTATTTGGAATTCATTTGGTCATTGTGTATTCATAAGCCTTATACTGTTGTTGCCCCCCTCTTTTTTTTTACAACTTTCACATAACCTGGGTTCAAGAGACTGAGAGATGGTGGGTATATGCAATAAGACAAAGCAACATCTGGCAAGTAGACCTCCCCATGTCTTCCATAGCCTTCAAAAACACATCTGCAGGCTGGAGTGCTGTCTCAGCAGTTAATATCCTTATTATCTTCTATAGAGGACCCTTCGATTCCCAGCACCCACATGGTGGCTCACAGCCATTGGTAACTCCAGTTCTAGTAGATCTTATGCCCTCTTCTTACCTCTGTGGCCTCCAGGCTTGCACATGGTGCACAGGTATACAGGCAGGCAAAATGCTCAGACACACAAAATAAAATAAATAAAACTAAAACAAGCAAGCAAGGAAACCAACAAAAAACCCCAGACAATTGAGGAATGCAATAAAAGAAGAAGAAAAGCTAATTTAAACTTTGACCCTCTTATTACCAATATGTGTGTTTTCTATTAAGTTATAAAATATGCAAGATGTGCTAAAATAATTTGCAATACCAAATATAGCAACTAATTGTAGATAGTTGTGTTGTCCATTTTCTCTTCTTACTTCAATAGACCTAAACCTAACAACTAAGCCATGGAACTAATCTTTCTTTCTAAGATTCAAAATCTATTCATGATTCTATCCCAAAGGATGAAATCAAAATGTAGTGCTGTAACTCCTGTCTCAATGCCATATGAATTTATCAGGCAAACTTGGCATTGCATTAATATGGTAATGTTCAGGGTACCCAAACAAACACCTTCCCCATTCCAGGCCTAGGGTACCAGACACATTTCCCATCCTGGGACTACTCCCACAAGAAAGAAGGCAGGCTTCTGTAGGTTGCAAGTCCTGGTCTGATTTATTTATAAAGCAATAAATATTTGAAGCACAAACAAACTGCACGTGTGTAAACAAACTGTACAATGACTGATGAGAGATGGAGGAGGGGGGCTCAGAGGATTCCAAGAAGCACAATACCATCATCCTGAATATAAGGGAGACTAAGAGAGAGACAACTTAGAAGCATTTGCGATGAACGATGGATGGGCCTGCTTCATCATACTCTTGCTTGCTGATCCACATTTGTTGGAAGGTGGACAGAGAGGCCAGGATGGAGCCCCCAATCCAGACAGAGTATTTACGCTCAGGGGGAGCAATAATCTGCAGAAAGGAAACAAAACCATTAGTGTGTTCTGAAGTTCCCAACAATGGAGCAGGCAATAGGTTTGGAATACTCACAGAAAATGCATCACAGAATAACTGACAATAAATAATGTGGGAGATGTTATACCACAAGGCAATGTAGCCAATCAGGTTTTGCAAACTTCCCTGTATTTCATCATTTCTCTACTTCTTTGCACTAGACAATAATATGGCAAAAGTCTAAATGCATAAAGGGTAATTCAAAACCTGGGGCCTTTTAAATGTGGAGGTGAGTTTAGTTATTGCCCACCCCCCACTCCCCGTGTTTCAAATATTTACTTATATTCACTATTTAGAAGTAGTCCTAAAGGTTCATATCTTGTGGGAAATGCTAGAAAAAAATCAGGAATAGTGTTAGCACTAAATAGAAAACTTAAAACATAAAAGATAGGAAGCTAAGATACAGGAGAAGGAGACTGGTAAGGAAGTTTGACTTAGAATTCAAAGAGCTGCCTTTGCCCTCCCGCTCACCTTAATCTTCATGGTGCTGGGAGCCAGCGCGGTGATTTCCTTTTGCATACGATCAGCAATACCGGGGTACATGGTGGTGCCTCCAGATAGGACATTGTTGGCATACAGGTCCTTGCGGATATCAATGTCACACTTCATGATGCTATTGTAAGTAGTTTCATGGATGCCAGCAGATTCCATCCCTAGGAACAAGTTCTTTTTAAAGTACTCACAGCACATTCAGGCAAGGATGGAGGGGAGGGGACAGAATTCTGCTGTGTTGGTGAGCTGCCACCGTTCATATCTAAAACATATGCTCCCCCATAACACACTGCTGGGAACAGGTGGGACATAGGTCTCTAAAATGTGCTAATAGATAATTCAGTATAGACTGCCAAGAGATAGACAACTGTGTTCAGTGCTTGTTTGGAGTGAACACATCCTGCAGCTATCGGGAGTGTGGAGATATTTTACAGAAAGAATCACACATGTTTAAGTGAAAATTAACCTATTTTATTTTGTGTTGAGATGAATCTCTGTAGCCCAGGCTAACCTTGAACTGAAGGCAATACTCCTGCCTCAGTTTCTGAGCACTGAGATAGCAGGTGTGAGCTACCACGCCCCTGGCTTATACTTTTAATTTATGGACTAAAATCAGATTCCAGCTTCTTCTGAAAACAAGTGTGTAGGAAAGATATTTGGTGACACCAAGCGTCCAGTTACCATAATGAATAGAGTTGTGGTTGGGTTTAATGGTGCATAACTTAAAGTCTAGTCTATCACTAATGGAACTTATTGGAATACATTGGCTCTCTTGAGTAATCAGGCATGCGCTATCCAGGGACTGATCAGTATCGTCCCCTACTGTGAGGTAAATTTGGTGTAACATTCTCAGTCATTTTCACTAGAGCAGCTAGCCCAGTCTTTTTTTTTACTGAGATATCAGGAGGAAAGACTGAGCAGGGTGAGACACCAGACTTTGATTCAAGAACCCTGCTGTCCTTCCAATTTAAATGGATGTTACTCTGGGAGACTCAAGAATTTCTAGAGAACCTGAACTTCAACATCAGAACCCATCCCTTACCAATGAAAGAGGGCTGGAAGAGTGTCTCTGGACAGCGGAAACGCTCGTTGCCAATGGTGATGACCTGGCCATCAGGCAGTTCATAGCTCTTCTCCAGAGAGGAGGAAGAGGCAGCTGTAGCCATCTCATTCTCAAAGTCCAGGGCAACGTAACACAGCTTTTCCTTAATGTCACGGACAATTTCCCGTTCAGCTGCAGAGATAAAGGACTTCATAGTCAAGCTCTGAAGAAAGTATCAGTTGTGGGGGCGGAGGTGGATCCATCAAGGATACAAAAACCAACAGGCGGATGCTGTGACAGGTAAGGCACACACACAGACTCACCAGTGGTGACAAAGGAGTACCCGCGCTCAGTGAGGATCTTCATGAGGTAGTCGGTGAGATCCCGACCAGCTAGATCCAGACGCATGATGGCGTGGGGTAAGGCATAACCCTCATAGATGGGGACGTTGTGAGTTACACCATCGCCAGAGTCCAGAACAATGCCTGTTAGAAAAGATAGATGAGAATGGGATGAAGCACTGAAGATGTTTCAGCCATAGTAAAACCTGCTTCTGTTAGGTACCAGAAACAAGTCGAGACATTACTCCACATAAAATCAGATCCCCTAGTGCAAAGGATAAAAATGATCCATAATGGATAGATACTAACTCCCAAGGCAGCGCAGCTTGTCTGACTAAATGCTGTAGTAGAAACATTTCCTGAGGACACTTTCAAATGGCTAGCCCTCTTATCAGCCGTTAGCATGTTATGTAAGCATCCAGGCACGTTTTTTTCTTGGGGCCAATCTAACCTAAAATGTGTCTCTCTGTTTTGATTCAGACTCTGTAGGGGAATGTGTGTCCTTGAATATGTCTGCCCAGGGGCTATGAATGCTGCATATCACATATCTTAAATAAGGGTAAGATCTAACTCCATGTTATCAGATCTTATAATAAATAGTCTCTGAAACTAACCTCAGGGAATTATTGTCACCTCTTCCTCTCAGCACAGATACTTTGCTAGAGAGGGTCAGGGAGGAGACCCTTTCCTTTGTCAGGTGAGAATTTGGGTTCGCAGTGAAGTCAGTGAGTTGGGAATATGATTAACTGGTGACTATTCCCTAGTCCAAACAAACCTGTGGTTCTTCCGGAAGCATACAGAGACAGCACTGCTTGGATGGCCACATACATGGCAGGGACATTGAAGGTCTCAAACATGATCTGGGTCATCTTCTCACGGTTGGCCTTGGGGTTCAGTGGGGCTTCAGTGAGCAGGGTCGGGTGCTCCTCAGGGGCCACACGGAGCTCATTGTAGAATGTATGGTGCCAGATCTTCTCCATGTCATCCCAGTTGGTGATAATGCCATGTTCAATGGGGTACTTCAGAGTCAGGATACCTCGCTTGCTCTGAGCTTCATCACCTACATAGGAGTCCTTCTGCCCCATACCCACCATGACACCCTGCAAAAAAGAAGAGAATGAGAACATCATGTTCCCAATGAGACAGGAGTATAGTCCAGGCCTTATTAACGTATATCCAACTCCCAAGGCAACGAATGGCTGTAAAATACTAGAAATGATAACAGTAGAAGTTGGAAGTTAGACATGGTGGTTCATACCTCTAATCCCAGTACTCAAAAGGCTGAAACGGGCCATAACTTTAAGTTCAGCCTGGGCTGTAGAGCAAGTACCAGGCAAGCCTAGGCTCTAGCGTGGGACCTCACCTCCAAGAGTTAAGATACAATCCTAATTTCAATGAATCATTTAGAATAAATGTTGTACTTTATCTCCACATGAGGAAGAGTATCTCTATTAATTAGATTATAACTCTGGAGGGGAGAATGAAGGGATTTCACTGAAGAAACAGAATCTTATCTTGTTTTTGAAATAGCATAATGACTTCATTAAATTCTTCAGCTTATCACTGATGTCACCTAAGAAATAGATGACTATCTTTTAGAACAACTGAATTAATGATGTCATTACAGCTTCTAGTGCCCTTAAGAAAAGATTTTGACACTCATCCAGATCCAGTGTACATGGGCTGACAGACCACTATCACTCAGATGAAAAGTCAAACCACTCAGAGGATCCTGGAGTGCCCTTCACTGGCCAAGCCCGAGGACTCGCAGCTCTGCTCCCTGGCAGCCTATCTGGCCAGGCATGCGACAAACCCAGAGAGCATGACATTTCTTTTAATAAACAAGGTGGCACTTGCTGCTTTGGTCACAGCTGACTTCTAAAAATGCAACACCCAGGATGGAAGTCCATTACAGCTTTGGGGAGTTCTGTATACTGGGCTGTGAACAAGAGATAAGAATGTAGATGGGGTGCTGGTTAATTCCAAGTAGTTACATTACTAGTGGTTAGCCGCATTATCTGAACTAAATTGAACCGACAAAGGGCAGAGGGCAAAGAAAAAAATCCACGTTTCAGAGAAGACACTGCAGTTGAAAATCCACAGGCCCAGAATGAGAAGCCGGTGGCCTTTCCTAGGAGAGAGTTGCACTGGACTTCTTGGTGTGTGCAGGTTGGCAGGGGTTGCTTGAAGTGGCTCGGAGTTATTGCTGGACTGGGAGAATGAAGAAAAGGGTCCAGAGTATGGCCGGGACTACGCTGGATGGGGAGCAGGCTGTGAGGGGCAAAAAGTGTTACCTGGTGGCGTGGGCGACCCACGATGGAAGGGAAGACAGCTCTAGGGGCATCATCACCCGCGAAGCCGGCCTTCACCAGCCCTGAGCCATTGTCGCACACCAAAGCAGTGGTCTCCTCGTCGTCACACATCGTGGCACAGCTTCTGTGGAATCTGTGGGCTAAGGACAGGAAAGGGGCCCACACTCAGTGCCTGCAGAGCCGGCCTTCTCCTTTAGAGAGGAAGGCGGCAGGGCACAGTGGGGTTATTGGAATGTAGAGAGTGGGGAGACAACTGGAATCTCCCTTGTACTCAAGACATAAACAAAAAAAAAAGGATTGGAAGAAGCCGAAAGACTGCCAGTGTGGCTGAGAGAAGGCAGAGGAACCCACCCACACCCCATGGACAAGAAGCTCAAGCTCCACTCCAGTTGCAAGGAGCCATGGCCCTAACCACCCGGGAGTTCCAACTCCTTAGTGGCCAATAGACTGATTCCAGCCCTTTCAGCTCTCCACCTTTTCATCAACAGAAAGCCTATTCTCCCTCCCTATCCATACCCCAGGAGGGGGAAAAAGTTCTAGAGATCAGTGACCCACAAAAGCTCCAGTGGTAAGATGGAGTGAGCTCTTTTTGTGTTGTAGAGGGGATTGATGAGGCCCAAGACAAAACAAGTCAAAAACGACACCAAAAAGTTTGCTTTAAAAAAAAAAAAAAAGTATGGATCCAGGAGAGCACAAAGGCACAGTGCGGACTTAGGTCCTGAAGCGAGCAAGGGCGGAGCAAGGCTGGGACTCACCGTGCGAGGGGCAGCTGGTTTCCGCTGGGCTGGCGGCAGGCACTGGGTGTCAGTCGCCTGGAGCGCGGCTTTATAGCACGCTGATGGACGGGGTCAGTTGGAGCAGCCGGGGGCAGGGGTGGGGGGCCCCTGATCTGCCACCTTGCCTTATTTGGTCGCCTTAGCACCATCTAGGACCGCTGAGGCCATTCTTGGAACCAAGGGCAGGGGAGAGGATCAGCCGGGGGGCTCCCAGACCATGTAAGGAAGGGGAGGGGGCAGCCAGAGCAATGGCCAAATAGGGAGCTAGGGAGGGGCAGGCCGGCAAGGGGTTGGGGGCAGGGGGAGACAAAGTGACTCCAATGAGCCCCTTCCTCCGCGCTAGGGTGGGGGAGCTCCCTGGTTGCTGTGTGGGTTTATTGCTCTTCAGCCCCGCCAGACTAAGGGACCTAAGTCATGCCAGCAGGAAGGCTTGGCAGGCTGCCCTTGGAGAAGGGTCCTGACAGCTGGGCTGGGGCTGCAGGGAGAGACAACAGCTTCTCATCTTCCAGTACTAGGAGACAGAGGAGCAGAGTCTGGGCAGTCTTGTAGGCACAAAGAGCAACTTTTAAGTACCTGGATGCAAAGGGGGCACCTGGGTAGGGCACCTTCTGGCCTCATTTAGCCTGAGCTGGGGCTAAGCTCACCGAAATGGGAAAGCCAAAATTCACCAGTCTTGGACCCACCCCAGGCATGGTCCTGAGCTGGTAGGGAAAGGCTGAGAAGGATTACCTGAGGGTCTGTCCAAGTCCAGCCCTGAGGTTAAGTAACCCTTGTCCACTCTGTAGGGGTTTTGCTCAAACTCAAACTTCGCATTTAGGCAAGAAAGGGGTCCTCTGTTTCCAGAGTAAATGGAGGCACCGATCCCAAAACGTAACGCAGCCACTTGCTAGCAGATAGATGGGCATCTTTAAAAGGGGTGGGGCGGGGGGCTGGGGGCGGGGTGGGGTGGGGTTGGGGGTGGGGTTGGAAGTTCTTTATCCCAAGTAAAGACACATCTTAAAAAACAAATGCTTTTGTGGGGACGATCATAGCCACTTGGGGTATGAGGAGTTACCAACCCTCCTACTCAAAGCGCTGACTGGGGACAAAAACAGCGTCTTCATAATGTGGATGAGTTAAAAATGCAGCGTCCCAGTCCCCACCCCAGAACTGGATTCACTGTACAGCCCATGATTAGCATTTACAGTAAAGTGTGAGAAGAATTGCTACAAATGAGTGTCATCTCCTTCATGGAGAACAGACTTTGAAGGATCTGTGCATTTTTCAGAAAGAAAAAGAAATAGCCTGAAATGAGGAGGGGGGTGTGGGAGACAGAAGGACACAGGTCACTAGCTTGCCCTGGGGTGCCCTGTATTCTTGGTTCTTGACTAGTGCCTGGACTTTTAATGCGTGTGCTTTTCCTTCAGTTCACACCAGTTAAAAATAGTAAACTGGGCACCAGCCTCTCTGTCTAGAGTGGGCTTGGACTGATATGCTGAGGAGGACTGCTGATTAGATACTTCTGGGGCTGGGGAATGCTGGGTCCTCCCCTCAGAGCTTCCCAACCATGTTTGGGATGGTCTGGGGATGAAACCTTCTGGGCAGCTGGACCATGGAGACAGGGGAGAGGCCTGCCGGGCTGAGATCAAGCCCTGCTATACCATCGGCACTTTACAGTGAGAATGTCCATTGACAGGATGCGAAGAGCAGAGAACAGGAGAATCAGAACGAGTGATGGGCTTCAAATCCTGTTTCTATCACTTAACTACATACTGCACATTTGGTCTTAGGCAAGCCAACTAATTCATTGAGACGCCATTCCCACCTTCCCCCCCGCCCCCGAAGGGGCACAATAACTCAGTTCTCACGGGGGTTATCGAGGATTGTCCCAGTAAGAGACAAGCAATATCCAAACTTGAGCCATTACCATTCAATAATGATACTTTTAGAGACAGCAGTAGCTTTCTGTTTTGAAAAATTGGGTCACTGCCATTCATTTCTCGATTCTGCAATGTTCTATCCATATGAGACAAAATTCAGTGATAAATAATACACAGCAAGACTCATCCTCAGTGGCAGTTGTGGAAGTCAGAGAGACTTTCAGTACACGCTGGGAGGAAGAGGTGGTCTCACTCTGTCATTAGAAATGGGGGCAGGGGACTTCTAAAAGGAGTTTCATAGATAGCCTTTTTGAAATACCATTTAAGTTTTTGTTTTATTTTGGTTTTTGGTGTTTTGAGAACAGTTTCATGTAGACCAGGATGGCCCCCAACCGACTGGATAGCAGATGACCTTGAACTCCTGACATTCCAACTTCTACCTCCTATGTGCTGTGATTCCAGGCATGGGCCACCAATCACCTCTGGCTTACTTGTTTCTAGAGTAGAATGGATCTGAACTTCATGAACTTGTATGAGAGAGTTGCTGCTTGACAGTGGCTGATGAGAGATTCCTGTGGTCACTGCATGTGTGCTGAAGTTCTCCAGAACTGGGAACAGTGATATTTCATCTGATACTTTGCAATGCTGTTAGGGCCACTCATTCTAAGACTGTGAGTCCTAATGAAGTATGGGTAAATTTGTTGAGGACCAGTTTGGGGAGGCAATACTCATCCTTAAGACACTTTAAAACTATGTTTTGCAGTCCATTCAACACATTTTAATTTTTAAAAATTACTTATTCATTATTATTAGTGTCTCTGGGTGGCAGGGACAAGTTGGTGCCACAGTATGTGAAGCAGGCTAGAGGACCACTCTGTGGGGTTGGTTCACTCTTTCCACCTTCGCATGGATTCCAGGGATTGATCTCAGGTCTTGTACGGTATACACTTTATCTGCTGAGAATTCTCACCAGGCCTCCATTAGTCCTTTAACACTTGAAGGAAAATGTATTTTCATGTATGTTATATAAAATGTCATATACATTACAATAAAAAAAGGAATACTTTTTCTTAAAGGTTTATAGTGAAAACATTCAAAACCTTTCCTTCTAACTTTTTGAAGTATGCTGTACATTGTCTATATGCTATACATTGTCTACACACAAGGACTTCTTGCTGTCTAACTGTAACTTAGTACTAATGAACCTTTCCTATCCCTGCCTAGAATCTACTCTCTCTAGCCTCTAGTAACTACCGTTTGCTATCAACATCTATGAGATCATCTTCTGCAGATTCCACAGGAGTTAGAACATGGGGGCTTGTCTTTCACTTGTATTTCATGTAATATGAAATGATCTAGATCTAGTTCCATCCATATTGTGAATTTCCTTTTACACACACACACACACACACACACACACACACACACACACACACGATATTTTCTATATTCATCAGTTGCTGGACACTTATTGTTTGCATTTCTTGGCTCTTGTGAATATTATTGTAATAAAGCCACTGCTGTGCAAACATCTCTTTAATATACAGACATTGTTGTCACCGGAAATAGATCCCCTGGGGAGGGGGCACTACATCATATAATAGTTGTAATTGAAAGTTTTTGAGGCACCCAAAACTGTTTCCCTTCATGGCTACACTAACATACATTCTGTCCAACAGTGGGACAGAGTCAGTCCCCTTTCCTCAACATCTTTTGGCTTTTTGATGATAACTCATTCCGAATGGGGTGAATGGATAGCTCATTGTGGTTTTGATTTGCATTTCCCTAATTAGTGACACTGTTTCCCTATTTGCTTATGCCCGCTGGCCATTAGTCATTTATGAATGTTTTCTTCTGAGAAATATCTATTTGAATCTATTGCAATTTCAAATTACTTTTGTTCTATTTATTTATTTGCATTATTTAAATTGGCCATTGAGTTGTTTTTGTTTCTCATATGGATGTTAATCCTTTGGCAGACAGAATTTGCAAATATTTCCTCCCATTCTATATGTCTTTTTTTCTGAGAATTGCTTCATTTGCTGTGCAGATACCTTTTAGTTTATAATCCTACTTGCCTGTTTTTTTCTTTCATTTCCCAGGGTTTTTTTTTTCAGTCTTGTCCTTAAAGATTTATAGCATTAAATATTTACTACTGTATCACTGCTTGTTTCTACATTTTAGAAACACTAAACTCTATTTTACATCTTTTAAAATGTAAGTTAATTAAGTTGGTAAGACTTTTTAGTTTTTCATTTAACACAAATTTTCAGTGATTTATTTAATTTGGAAACTGAGATAAGTGAGTGTATAGTTCAATAGTGTTAAGTACATCCACATTATTATGCTGTCGGTCTTCTAATTTTATGTTCATGATTATTGTAAGTAAGATGATTTTCAAATCCAGGAAGGGCCACTTCCTGAAGTTTGAGAGAGTCCTAGTCCTCAGAGTCTGGGACTCTCACCTGAAGTCACCAAGACGAACAAATGGTGGAGACCCTCAGGGAGGCACCCGAGGGAGCCTGCGTCCTAACCACTTTCTCACGCCTTCAGGTCTCCCAGATTGCTGTTTTTCAAAGGGGGATGTTAGAACTGCCTACGGCTGGGCTGCCTAATAGAAGTCCAAGTTTTGGGATCCCATCCTTGAAGAGGAACGAATCTGCATTTAGTGAGACCTTACCCTATTGCCCAGGTGAGTTTCTCCTCTCCACATTGCCTGACTGTGTCTCCCCAGCCCACAGAGTTTTGCTGGGTGAAGCCCAAACTGTCACTGTTGGCCAGAGTCCTGCTTGGCTGACCTTGAGCATCCCAGTGGAATGGCAAATCCAGGCGAGTCCCCAGGGCCGTGGAAGGCCAGCAAGGTCCTTCCCAGCACAATAGGCCATGAGGGTGACGTGCAGAGCAAGCTAAAGGGACAGAAGGTGGGACTGTTCCCTGTGTCCTTGCCTGGGGGAAGCCTGTTTCATCCACCATCTGCTGGGATCTGAAAGGGAGCAGCCCGGCCTCCTCCCCTGCACTGGGGGATTAGCAGTCACTTATCTCAGCTGTTCCTCCATTTGGAGGTGTTGTAGTATTTACAGAGAAGACAGAAACAGACCAAGCCACACTTAATTCCTCCCCACAAGCTGCTCTACCCCTCCAGTCCCTCCCGCATTCCATGTGCCTTTGAGGAGCCTGGGAGAGGCTCTCTCTCCAGACCACAGCAGGGTAAGGGGGCCAGCCTTCCTAAATATTTTTATTTTATCTCCTTACACATTTGTTCATCCTCATGCCCTCTGGCAGGGGCTCAGTTTCAATTTTCATTAAAAAAAGAAAGTGATGTGACTGGGAGAGATGTAGTCGCCCACACATCCTGGTGCTCAGGCATGGCTAATCTTTACGGCTTACTGCTTGTTTTTTACGCAA